TGTCTATAGTCATCTTATTGTGCCGTAGCACACTAGAGGTTCTCACTGGTAATTACCATGGTAGACTCAATTTCTACTAGATCTAAATTCTTTTTTATTTATTTTTGGTCCTGGGGCTTGAACTCTGGGCCTGGGCGCTGCCCCTCAGCTCTTCAGCTCAAGGCTAGCGCTCTACTATTTGAGCTACAGTGCCACTTCTGGCTCTTTCTGCTTATGTGGTGCTAAGGAATCAAACCCAGGGCCTCATGCATGCAAGGCAAGCGCTCTACCACTGAGCCACCTTCCCAGCCCTAGATCTAAATTCTATTAGACCAACTTTTGTAGATTCCACATAGGAGTGAGACTGTGCAGTACTCTTTCTTGCCTGATACAAAATAACTGTGATCTTTATTCCCATACCTGTTGTCATAAATGATTTATTATTTATCTCATTTATTTGAGCCAGTCTTGATGTGGTTTTGCATTGTGCTTCTCTTATACGTTTTTCATATGCTTGCTGGCCATTTGTATACTTGGGAAAAACAGCTGTATCATGCTTTTGGCTGGAGTGGTACTGGGGATTGAAAATAGTGCCTCACATTTGTTACACAGGTATCCTACCACTTGAGGCACACCTCCAGCTTTTTTGCTTTGGTTATTTTCAAGGTAGGGTCTTGCTTTTATGTCAGGCTGGCCTGGGCTGCAGTCTTCCCCTGCAGCTGGGTTAGGGGCACACTACCATGTCCAACTATTGAGTGAGAATGAATCTTGAGAATTTTTATGTGTGGACTGGCTTTGAACCTCAATTATGAGATCTTTGCCGTTCAAGTAGCTAGTACGACAGGCTTGAGCCACTGCACCCAGCTTCTGTTGCTCACTTTTTAATAGGGTTATTTGGGGTTTTGTTAATACGTTTTACAAATTCTTCATATTTTCTGGATTCCATATTATTTGCACACAGTTTCTATTCTGTGGGATATTTTTAATTCCATATGATCTTACTGATACTTTTGTTTCCTGTGTTTTGGGGGTCTTGTCCAATTGTTTCCTGTGTTTTTGGGGTCTTGTCCAAGAAGTACTTATATATTCTAATGTCTTTAAGCATTTCCTATTTTTTTTAGTAGCTTCAAGTCTTGCCTTTATGTATTTAACTCATTTCCAGTTATTTTCTATGATTGGTGAGAATTTTTAATGTTTATTTTAATGTTGTGTTTTGTTTTGCAGTATTGGGGATCAAACTCAAGGCCTTGCACATGGCTGTTAAAGCTTTCTACCAATGACCTCCATCTCTAGCCCTTGGTTCTTCCCATTTAGCTCAGGCTGGCCTCAAACTGGCCTCAAAGATCCCTAAGCTGCTGCCTCCCAAGGGTTTGGTTTCAGGTAGGTACCACCACACCTATGTATTCCTAATTTTGTGAGGAATATCCCTGCTGTTTTCATTGTGGCTGTGCCCATTTATATTCCTGATGTGTAGGAGTTTTCTCCACATCTACACCTGGATTCTGATTTTTTTTGTTTTTCGGTTTTATAAGAACTACTGTAATTGAGGTAAGGTAATATATCACTTTTGGGTTTGATTTGTATATATCTTTGTTGGGTATTTTCAGAAATTTTTCTAGGACTACTGGCTTTTTGGGGGGGTGGGGGTGGGGAGGGGTTGGTGGTACTGGTTCTTCAACTGAGGGCCCAATGGCTTGCTAGGCAGGCATTCTACGACTAGAGCCATGCTAAGCTAACTGCAACCTGAGGCAGTAAGAAAAGCACATGGGGGCCTGAGGCTCGCCAGCCCTTGAACCCCAGGGAAGGTTACCATGGGTACATGCAAAAAACAAAGCATCTGTACTGTTATTACAATCAGACAGCACAGAGCTTGTGTAAATAACTGACTCCCTTATTGTTTTGAGATGAAGACTGCAACCCAGGCAAAAATCAAACATATATTCCACTTTCTCTAGCTTTCAAGGTCCAGCTCTCAACCCTTCAGCACTAAGGAAGGAGGTGGCATTCCAGCCTCTTACCCCTCTCCAGAGCTGTTTTAAACTTCCATGGCCAGTTCTCAGTGTTCTGAGTACTCCTGAGGTGGCATTCCAACATCTCAGACCTGTTCCGGGTTTCATAGCTCAGCTTCAGAGTTCCCTACATGCCTCTACCTTTTTTATACTGCAAGTTTTTGCTTTGTTTTGTAATAGAGTCGCACATTTTGGCCCAACCTCAGTCCATGATCCTCCTGCCCATTCCTCCAGGTAGCTGGGATTACAGATAAGTACCAATCATGCTTTTGGTTGAAGTGGGGGTCTTGATTGTTAGGAAAATGGAGGAGAATGGAAAAGGAATAGGCTGGACTCAATCTTATCAACAGGGGAGGACTGTTTATTGAGGAACAGCGAGGGGCACAGACCTTCCCGCGGGTTTGGAGGTTGTGCCCGAGAGCTGGGACAGCTGGGGTTTTATAGGAGGTCCAAGCAAGGAGGCAGAGGTTCATGAAAAAGCCACTAAGTCGAGGAAGGTGGGGGCCTTTCAGTTGGGCCCACAATGGGATGTTTACAGCTGGGCTTAGGTGGATTGCCCTGCCTGCACTTCAAACAAGTTCACACACACCTGGGATTGTGCCTGGCGTCTGTATGGGCCTGGGACAATAGGGTGGGGGTCAATCCTTCATATTCCATCTTTAGAGACATAAAATGATTGCGCCAAGAGGGAAGAGGCAAGTCCTTCATATACATAAAAAGATACATAAAAAGAATTGGGCTGAGAGGGGAATAACACGGAGTTATGAGAACAAAGCAGATTCCCATCATTGATAACCTTTGCCAGGGTGGTCTCCAACTGCAATCCTCCTGAGTAGCTAGGATCTGGAGGATTCACCACTATGTCTACCCCTTTTGCCCACTTCCAGGTTCTTTTTAATTTTTTAGTTAATTTTTTGGTGGTACTAGGGGTTGAGCTCAGAGCTTTGTACTCAATAGGAAGGCGCTCTACCTCTTTCGTCATACCACCAGCCCTTTTTGCTCTAGTTAGTTTTGAAATGAAGTTTTGAAATGAAGTCTTGCTTTTTGCCTGGGCTGGCCTGGAAGTTGATCGTCTTAAACATCTGGTATTACAGGCATAAGTCATTGACACTTGGCTTTCCTTTTTTTGTTTTTTTTTTTTGTTTTTGTGGTCAATTGTGGGGCCTGAACTCCTGGCCTGGGCGCTGTCCCTCAGCTCTTCAGCTCAAGGCTAGCGCTCTACCACTTGAGCCACAGCAGCACTTCCAGCTTTTTTCTTTTTGCTTATGTGGTGCTGAGGAATTGAACCCAGGGCCTCATGTATGCAAGGCAAGTGCTCTACCACTGAGCCACCTTCCCAGCCCTCCAGTGCCTTTTTTCTCGCATCTCTTCCATCTGGCTGTTTCTGAATTGTATTCTTTGTGATTACCTGGCAACAGTCATTTTTTTCCCAAGTTCTGTGCAAATTACCCTGAGGTAGGAGTATTGGGAACTCTAGTTTTTTAGCCAAAATGAACAAAAATGTGGTCAACCTAAGGATCCAATACTTGCCATTGGCATCAGCACTAACTCCAGGTAAATATCAGAATTCAGTTGCAGGACACCTAGTTGATATCCACAACGACATGGGAAAGTGCTTGAAAACCTTACACATTTATAGTGTGTAGAGGAAAAAACATTTCTATAATGCCATGTGTCCTGAATGTTTCTAGAATTAAATGTCTGTGCTGCTCTCCAAGAGCATAGGAGTGCTGGGCACTGGTGGCTCATGTCTGTAATCCTAGCTACTCAGGAGGCTGAGATCTGAGGATCCTGGTTTGAATCCAGCCTGAGCAAGAAAGTTTGTGAGACTGCTATCTCCAAATAACCACTAAAATGTTGGAAGTGGAGCTGTGGCTAAGGTGTTAGAGCACCAGGCTTGAGTGAAATAGCTAATGAACTGTGCCCAGGCTCTGAGTTCAAGCACCAGTACTGGCACATTTAGGGGGGGAAAAGCAATAAAGAAAATGAGTAGAACTGGGAAGAAGAAATCAGGCTTACTTAAAACCACCCTCAAGAATATAGAGGGGTTTCTTTTTTGCCTCACATCTTTTAGGACACTTAGGAGCATAATGGCTCTTGTAAGTCGAGCAGGAAGGTACAGAGACATTGTCTTGCCTAGAACACTGGAACAGCATGTGCATTTTCTTTATAGACAGACATTACTTTTCTGCAAGGCATTTACATGAGCTGCAGGAAGGAGTGGGAGTATCAGGTGAAATGTACAAATGCTAGGAGCAGGAGAAAGTGTGTTATAGCTTCTGAAGGGAGCTGTTGTCGTATAGATACACAATGGACTGTATGGCTGGAACTATTGTTCTACTTGTCAAACTTTCTCAAGGTGTGAGATTCAGATCCTGTATTAAGGGCTGGCCTGTGCCAGAAGAATATTGGCTGTTTAATGCCTCTGCAACTCAGCTATCATGCACCTTCTATATTGGGTTTGTAGTATTTATAGGCGGTATGTATCATGTTCCTCCAGAACAGCAGCGAGCCAGCAGCTAACATTAGTCCCCTGAATGTGCAGTTAGGCTGGTGTGTGATGTGATACCAAGTTCCTTTAGCTTTTTTGAATGTTTATCAAGTACGTGATTTGGCTAGGCTAGGTACTCCCCAGCCTTGTGATGTTTGAGTGCTTAAGCCCGATACGTCCATTTTACAAGTGCTAAGGTGAGAGGGATGAAGAGGTTTTATGAGCATGACATGACACCAGAAGGGCCCTAGAGGAAAGAAAAAAGGAAAAACTATGGGAGGTGTAAAGGCGGAACACTGCAAGCATGTCACTTCCAGAAGTCTCTAGTTCCATGTGTGGGAGCACTGGGTGTTGGAACTGCTTTCCTGTTTGAGGGGAAGGACAGGAGGGCTCCATGTGCAGGCACACGGTGAGCAAACACAGCAGCAGTTAGCACACAGCCTGCCCGGTGAGGCAGTTCTGCCCCTGGCCCACCAATCCCCATCAGCGCTATGAGTGACCAGTAAGAAAGGAGGCCAACAGCGTTAGAAAAATACAAAAGTTTAATCTTTACCTATGACATTCAAGCTTCCTTTTTTTTCTTCAAGATAGGCTCCTCCTGCCCTCCAGGCAGGATCACGGTGTGCAGATCACCACACGAGCCTAAGGCCCCTGATCTTTTTTAAAAGGGAGTGAGCTTTACATTTACATGATTTAAGTTTCCTGTGTGCACCTTTCGCTTTAGCCTAAAGTCTTTGCTAATGATCTGCTCATCCACAGTGCAGTTGTTCTGTAGGACGAAGAACTGTAAGGCAGACCTTGGAGCCTATGACCTTGGACTGTACAGCCTTGAGCCATAGAACTTCCCTGTTCTGTATAACCCAACAACCCTCCAGCTTCCTGGCCCACATTTTGGAATGCAGGTATTTAAGGCACCATGTGATTTTATGAACTGCCTCTGCTTCTAATTACGGCCCATCCTTGTCCACACAAGTTGTATGTTAGTTATTGCTGGACATTAATTGGTGCCTTGATAGGTCACAGTTCTGTTAGTAGAGACAGGCACCTTCAGGAAGCCTTGGAGTAGTTGTCAAGGCAGGACGTAATTAATTCTCTGGGAAATCAGTTTACAGCCCTGGGAGGAGAAGAGTTGCACTTCCTTGGGGACATAGATCATCATCTTGGCGATTTCATCCAGAGCTTCTTCTGTGTACGGGAGCCCCTGGCTCACGAAAGCATCACGTACACACAGCCTCACATGACGGTATTCCAGTGGCAGGAAGGGGACAAAGAAGTCCACCAGGTTTTCCTTCACAAGACAGCTGTGCCCAAAGCCACTATCTGAAATCAAACCCAAATTTAGCTAGGTACTAGTGGCCCATGCTCTAATATAACTACTCAGGTCGCTGAGATGTAGGGGGTGGCAGTGCCAACCTAGTTGATAGAGAAAAGCCCACTAGGTTCCATCTCCAACTAACCACTAATAAGCCAGGTAGGGGATATGACTCAAGTGGTAGAGCAGTAACAATAAAGTTGAGCAACTGCAATGCTGAGTTCAAATCCCAGTACCAGCCAAAACAAAAGATCCAAAGTTACCTGGAGTCTGAATCTAGCTGGAATTTTAAGTCATCCCTACCCTAAGGTCTAGCAAGAGCTAATTTCATATACCAACGCCAGGATAGCAGTCTGCAGCAGATGCCAGGAGCCACACCCTTGTGTCTACACGAGGTAAACAATGCCAAGTTATAAAAATGGTTATTACAGTGAACAGGGAGCGGGTACAAGTGCCAGGTGTGTGGCTTGCTTTGTTGGCTGGAAGCAGACTCCCCCTGCATTCTCAGAGTGAGCTTCTGAAGCATCTACAGGCTTCTGCCTATATTTTCAGGGTCACTGCCACCATTCTCTTTAAGAGCATTTACAGGAAAGGAATTAAGACTTTTTTTTCTGGCACATGTGCCACCCTAAATTGAGATTTGAGATGATGATGCGTGTTCTCTGGGGCTCCAATTCCCTGGCCATCTCACAGCACAATCACTGCAGCTGTGTTGGCTCTCACTGAAAGCTGTTTTTCTGTGTGCCAGGGAAGTCATCCTCTTACCTGGGGATTCGGTGATCTCAGCCTGGAGGCTGGGCTTCAGGTGTTCCATGGTAATTTCTTCACGGGACCATCCAGCCAGAAGCAAATTCAAGACTGCCTCATTGATGTTATTGCCCCCAAGGTTGCTGAAAGAGATCAGAGTTGTTTATATTATAGATTTTTCCTTTTTTTTTTCTGTACTGAAGTTTGAGCTCAGGGCTTGGTGTTTCTAGGCAGTTGCTCTACCTCTTGAGCCATGCCACCAGCAATAGATACCTTCCTTTCCATGCTTCCTTCCACCTGAGTTACCTGACCACCAAGAGATGGAGGCTGTGGGGCCTGGGCCTATACTCTGCAGAGAGAGCTGGTCACAACTCAGTGGCCTTCGCCACCCCATCCTGCCTCTGTCACTCCATTTCATGTGTAGGAACCTCCAGCCGGGGGCCTTATAAAGCCCTCAATATCATTTGGTACATGACAGACACATGTGTTTCTTATCAGCTCCCTATGGCCAGCTACCTATATTAATAGTTTTGTGTGACTCATGATGTTAAATTATCCAAATGGCTCTTGGCTAATAAAGATTGCCCACCCCTGCCATATAACACTTGCGAAGTGGGTACCATTGACTCACATCTGTAATTCTAGCTACTAAGGAGGCTGAGAGCTGAGGATCCAAAATCGAAGCTGGCAAGTGCTGATGCAGAAATAGAAGATTTCCTTAGGATACTGCTTCTATACTGTCTACAATGCAGATTGGAAGTGACTGTTAGATGCCAGGAGTACGTATGTCTACTATGGACAGAAGAGGTCTGGGGGAACAAACATGAAAGGTAGGCAGTTACAGGGAGGAGGCCATAGAACCAACCACTGGAGGGTTTTGTGTTGCAGAGTGGGTGTGGTTACCAGTCAGGTTTGTGTCCTGGCTACAGAGGTTGCATTGAACAGGCATGAGGTGGTTGCAGAAAGGTAGTCCCTAAGCGTTTTGCCAACAATGGAGAAGGGATGGGAGGAGAAGAATTCAGGGAAAACACCACTGCAGAGTCTTGTCAACGGATGGGCACAAAACAAAAGGGGCCAAAGAGTGGTGTTTGCACTTTGCTATCCTCAGCAAGGGAAAGATGGAGACGAAAGCTTGGTTTTATGCAGCTTTTGGAGGCAAGTTCTCCCTCTCCCTTTTCCCTTTCTTCTCCTTTCTCTCCCTCTCATCTGATGCACTGAAATGTGGACTAAGTGAGACTGGAGGAGGAAGAGAAGGAAAGAAGACAACCCTAAGAAGCTGAAAGGAGGCACTGGGTGGAGCCAAGAACATTTCCTTTTGTTTCCTCCCCAGCCCTGGAGCAGCAGGTCCCTTCTAGATGGGGTGGAGCGCCTTCTCACTTCATTTTTCTCCTCCTGAACCTATCCAGCCAGGAGGAGGGGTGTAGTAACGGAAGAATGGGAGGGCAAGCAGTAAGCTAAGAAGTGAATCTGATGTGTCATCGGACAGAAGTGAGGTTTAGTGACGCTCCCCTTTAAATATAGGAACAAGGTCTTCACTTAGGGTTCTTGACTTCGATCACAGAATAAGAATTTCTGGACAAGTCACAATGGTAAGAAAACTTGGCAGAGCTTTATTAAGTAAACAAGCAAGGAAACAGACAGACAAAATAGCAGACAAACAGAAGGTCGGGCACGCAAAGTGTGGGTGCTCTCATAGGGACACAAAGACACACACACACCCAGAGAGACACACAGCTCCTTGGGCTGTTGGGTATTTATACACACAGACACCGAGCTCCTTGGGCTGTTGGGTATTTACACACACACACACACACAGCTTCTTGGGCTGTTGGGTATTTACACACACACACAGCTCCTTGGGCTGTTGGGTATTTACACACACACACACACACACACAGAGCTCCTTGGGCTGTTGGGTATTTACACACACACACACAGCTTCTTGGGCTGTTGGGTATTTACACACACACACACAGCTCCTTGGGCTGTTGGGTATTTACACACACACACACACACACACACACACACACACACACACACACACACACACACACACACACAGAGCTCCTTGGGCTGTTGGGTATTTATACCCAAAAGGAATAAAGGCAGGGGGTCTGGCTTTAAGTTATGCACAGCTAGGTGCTTTGGCTTTCACTACACCTGGTGTTTGAGTTTCCAGGTGAGAATGCATCCTGCCATAAAACAGATCCTTATCTTTGAAAGGAGGGGACACCCTGCTATCTGCATTTTGGGGCTTTCTGTCAAGCAGTTGTGAATCTTTGGGTAAGAAATGCATCCCTCAGGAAAGGATGCGCTCAGTTGTTGTTCTTTGAAGCAAAGATAGCATTTCTTTGAAGCAAAGATAGCATTTCTAAGTTTTTAGATAGCATATTTCTGAGTTGCCTACAGCAGGCCTCAGTTTCCATAAGTTATCCTGCTTCATTTCCCCCCAAATGATTTTTGTTCCCTTAATTAAGGGAAGTACATGAAGGAATATCTCCTGTATTTGCTATTAGCTGACCAAACCTCATTTTCCCTAGTCTATCCAGCTTCAATCTTTCCTTTCCTTCCCTCAGCTCTTCCACCCTTGCTACCTTCTGGTGCCTTAAATCACTTCCGCTCCTTTCATCCTGTGGGCAAGGCTCCCTGTTTGCATCCCCAGTTGGATGGAAGCGGCTGGTGCTGGCATCTTTCCCTATGAAGCAGGTAAGTCAGAGACTCCTTCCTGAGTCCTCACAGCTTTCAGAAATTACCAGCTGGAGGAGCCTTAGGAAAATGGGGGCAGTGCTTGTCCCTAACTCAGCAAGACACTCTTCCCCACCCCCCAGATGAAGCTGCTTAAGCCGCTCACCTGCTTTCTCTCCCCTCCGGTGCTGGAAGGCCTGCCAGAAAGCTCCCTACAGCACAGGATTGCAGCAGCAGCCGAGACAAAACTGGCTACATTTGCCTTCTCCACAAGAAGTGGAGCAGGAGCCTCCACTGCAGAGGCTCCACTGACAGCAGGCTTCCAGGGGTGCAGAAGAGCAGTGGAGCCACAAACAGTCCGAGGGACACTATTCAAGTGTCTTCTCATCTCTATCCAGAAACCCAGCAGACCCTAACTAAGCTTCTGAATGGGAAGCTGGAATTCTTTTCAGCACTATAACCCCAATACCCAGCTTGCTGCTCAGTACACAGCTCGTCCGCAGCTTTTCAGGTGGGTATCTCTGAACATTTGCCTACATGTCTCACCTGGTTTCTGAATTTTCCCTCCTGTTTGTCCCGTGCTGATATCTTTTCCCCTGCCATGTTTTACCCACAAGACAGCACCTTATCTGGGTGCCCTGTCTTCTCTGCTCCTCCTCCATCCTCAGTGCTGCTGCTCTGGCACCAACGTACCTTCCCATCTCCCGGGGGCAGTTCCTTGCTACCATGTGACTCACGAGCACATATTGCCCACTTGGAGCACTTTAGTTCCCTTCCACATCCTTCCCAGCTACCAGCCACCATCTGAAGTGGCCAAAGGACCAGAAATAAACTCACCACCACCTGCTCAGTCTTTCCTAAAAAACAGAAATAGATGAACTGGTTGATGTCTTTGCATTCTACTTTTCTCATCTGGGAGAAGGGGTTGACTTTTTTGCTTTTTGGTCTCACTGGGTAGCCCAGGCTGGCCCTGAGCCCAGGATCCTCTGCCGTTACCTTCCCAAATGCTGGGGTTATAGGCATGTGCCATCACATGCCCACAGTTTCATCATTGGTAAAATGAGAGAAGTGGACCAATCTAAGGGGTTTCCCAAGCAGTCGACAGATATGCACGGCTCATTTTTTACATGCTGAGCTACAGAGCCTGGGAATATTACTCTGAATTCTTCACATTTTCTCAGCCCTTTCTATCCGGATAGAAGCAGGCATTAGTAGCCCTCTCTTGCAGCTTCAGTAAGAGAATAGCTCCACCCTCCAGGCTTGCCCTGTGACCCCAGGGCCTTTCATACTTGTACAAATGCTCAGTAGTAATCAGCATCGATGATGACCAGATACTGGACACCCAGACACCAGACACCTCAGTTCTTCAGACACAGATGAGGGATAAGCTGGGGCAGCCCAGCACACACAAGGCTTCCTGTATCAGCTGCCAGGGCTGTACCAGTCCCAACAGTAACTTCCCTGCCCCAACACCAATCAGACCGTTCAGATTGGAGAACTCCAGGAACTGATCTAAAACAACCTTGAGAACCTGGTGGAACCCAGTCTCCAACAAGAAGAACCTGAAGAACAAGAACCTAGACGAGAAGCAAAGGGTGGCGCCAGAACTGAGCAGAGTTCTCTACAAGTTCCAGCTGGACCAGTGTATCAGGTGTAACTATTCTGCTGACTCCCAGTGACAACTGATCAGCTACATTCTCCATCCTTGGTACTTTCCCTCCCTGCCACCGAATCCACAGGCAGATTAAGGAGGCCTTTCGGTGGGCCACCAATTAAGCTTGCTTTTTGCCAAATCCCAGTGCCATCATTTTGGCTTGTCTACATGCATGGCGGGCAGTGAGCCCTGCCTGGTATCCTCTCTAACTTACTATTGAAAGCAACACCTGCATGTCTCATTTCAAATAGAAGGTTCTGGGTATTTCTCAGAACCATACTGCAAATCCTGCTGTAGTGTATGATTTGGGCTACCCAGAAGTTCAAATTTCAACAACCTTCACTGTAAAGAAGATGAAGCAAGTCCACAGCCTGAAATCTGAAACACATCGTCTTCCCCGCCCATCTCTAGAGCCTCTGAGAACCTTCGGGGGTTAGAGGCACTTCGGGGCACGTGAGGCCACAGGGCAGGATGGGAGCCCTGGTGGTCATGGAGCCACACAGTCTGCTAGAGACTGTGGAAGCCCAGCTCGCGTAATCCCACTGAGCAGGTCCAAGCCAGAGTCACAGGACCCCAGGACCCCATCTTAACTCAAGTGGCCCTCTGAGTCCTTTTCATACCTTTCCTCGCTGGAGGGCAGGAGTGACATCTGGCAGGTGCTGAAGGTAAGCCAGCAGGTCAGCTTTTCAAGCCCAGATTACTCCCAAGGCAGTGGGCTGTGTGACAGCACGGCCCCGTCAGGTCACTGGGAGAAAGTGTGGGATTGTCCAGGGGATGTAGGGTTTCCCCATCGGGTCAACAACCAAAGGCAAGTGTTTGCCTAAAACAGGGTCAGTGCATCACACTAGGAAAACAGCCCAGCCACGGGTTTGCTAAACAGGTCAGTGCCCCTGTTGGTGGCACAAGTGGGGGAAAGACTGGTTGTATCAGGGCCAGGGCGCTGGCCTGAGTGGGGATACGGGAGGTGCCACAAGAGGTGCTTATGCGCAGAAGTGGAAGAACCCGACAAATACAGAAGGTCCCGGCTCCAGACTGCCCATCCCCCAGGATGGACTGGCTCTGCAGCAGTGGTTCAGGGCCATGCCAGCCCCTCTTCCACAGAAAGGCTCAAGGAGAAGCCTTAGGGCATGACTCCATCGCTCCACACATCCCTCCACCTAACAGCCACGTCCATCCTATCATGCACTATAAGATGGAAAACAGTATAGAACCTGGGGAATGGAACTGACCTGACTCTGGGCTGAGTCATGCAGAAGATCCCTCTTTCCTCATAAACTTTCCTCATCTCTCACCCATCTCATACTTCAGTCTCAGTGGGAATCTCCCAAGCCTGATTTACACACAGGAAGAATATTGACACGTGGAACAGCACCAGCATGGTTTCAACCTTTCATCCTGTCTTCAGGGTCTACAGCTACCTCTCCACTCTCCAGACCTGGAACAAAATCACTGCCACCTACCCCACCTTACCAGGAAAACCAGAAATCCCCCTTCACGACAGCCAGGGAGGAAGTAACTGGTTTTTTACTTCTATTGCGGCATTCAAATAGAGCCTCCATAAATACAGAGTTGGGCCAGGTGCAGATGGCTCATTTCCTATAATCCTAGCTACTCAGGAGGCTAATGCTGAGGACTGCAGTTTGACACCAGCCTGGGCAAGAAAGGCAGCTGCTGTGGCTCAAATGGTAGAACACTAGCTTTGTGTACAAAAAGCTCAGGGACAGCACCCTGGCCCTAAGTTTGAGTCCCAGACTAGCACACAAACACCCCACTACCACCACCACAATCACACACAAAACTGGACAGAGACATACGTTTGCTTCCTGCAAAGCCATTTTAAGGGCCTGATAAACGAAAGCATAGCTATGCACTGTAGTGGTTAAATTCTGTACCCAAATGTCCCAATACACACTCTAAGAGCTCTGAGGTTTGGGGAGAGTACTGGAGTTTGAGCTCAGGGCCTTGTGCTTGCCTGGCAGTACTCTACCATCAGACAGGCAGGGGCTCAGCTTTTGCCCTCGCTTGCAATCCCACCGCAGCTCCCAGCTAGCTGGGATTACAGGTGCATTGCCACATTGGGCCCACACTGTTTGAAGCCAGGGATTTCTCCAGAGCAGAGAAGAAAACAACCTTCCAAATCTGGAGGGAGAACTGGCCATGTCAGATTTCTTGGGAACTATGTTGTCCTCTGCCCAAGCCTGCCTTGGGAATTTTCACAGCTGGTCTGTACTTGACTTGCAACTAACAGCAGACTTAGAAGATGGAAAGATGGCCTTCACAGGGGCTTGCGCTGTGGGAGCAGTGAATCCACCAACTTTGGTGGCCCAAGCCCCTCTGAAGTATGGGGATAAGTGGGCCGAGAGTCCCACTCTAGCCTGTAAGCAGTGAGGCTTCCATTCCCTCGGTGAGTTTTAGTCTTGAGCAGGAGATTAGAGCTCAAGACCTCATCTTGTCAAGTATGACTTCCCCTTCTCCAGGGCTGAAGCTGCTCCCCGACCTCACCTGAGAAAGAGAAAGATGGCCTTTGGAGGCTCAGCCTGGGGGCCCTCGGTGACCCGGCGCTGTAAGTGTGGTTCAAGGACCTCCAGCAGCCCAGGATGCAGCTTCTCGGCTTCGTCGAAGATGAACAGGCTCTGGTAGCAGCTCCGCTGCATCCCTTGGATCTGGTTCTGCAGCTGCTCCTGCACAGCATAATGGACAGCCGCTGGTTCTCACTGATGTCGCCCCGCACGGTGGGTCACCTGGGGCTGAGCTCCGCCCCCAAATCTATCCAATCAAGCCTTTAGGTGGGCTCATTGCTAACAAGCTTCCCAGGTGACTCTCGTGCATCTAGGGTGGGCAGCCTCGGTTGAGTAGAGGGTAAGAGCCTGGAAGTTAAGAGTGAGAAGCCCTCCCACCCTTGGGAGCAGGCCCAGCTCCAGCCCACTGTATCCTCTCCAGGATTAGGTCCTATGCTGGAAGTAAAGGCCAGCTCACTCTCCTCCAAAACCAGGAGTCAGTCTCTGCTATAGGAATGAAGTCGGAGGGAAAATGGCAAGGGCCAGAGGCAGCCACAGTCCCTGAGTGGGAGGAGACCTCAAATTGTGGACCAACAGAGGAACTTCCTGTCCATCGTCTAATAAGCCACTCTGGAAGTTACAGGGGAGAGAGGAGAGAAGAGGAGAGATGAAAGGGGGAGGGGGGAGAAAGAGAGAGAGAGAGAGCCCAAATAGAGTGCTTGTCCACCATTCTAGAGGCTCTGGCCTCCATCCCCATATTAAAACAAAAACAAATGAAGAGAGCAAGGGAAGGGGTGATATCATCCCAAAAGAAACGTACCAACTTGGGCTGGGAAGGTGGCTCAGTGGTAGAGCGCTTGCCTTGCATGCCTGAGGCCCTGGGTTTTATTCCTCAGCATCACATAAGCAAAAAGAAAAAAGCCGAAAGTGGCGCTGTGGCTCAAGTGGTAGAGCGCTAGCCTTGAGCTGAAGAGCTGAGGGCCAGCGCCCAGGCCCAGAGTTCAGGCCCCACGACCGAATCAAAAAAAAAAGAAATGTACCAACTTATGTAACCCCTCTGTCCATCATCTTTATAATAACAAAGAAATAGCAAAAGCAAGCCATGAAAATTTCTAACAAAATGACGAAAGGAAAGTTGTTTGTTTTTTTGTTGTTTTTTTGCTGGTCTTGTGGCTTGAACTCAGGGCTTGGGCATTGTCTCTGAGCTTTTTTGCTCAAGTTTAGCACTCTGCCACTTGAGCCACAGCTCCAGTTCTGGCTATTTGGGTGACCAATTAGAGATAGGAGTCTCATGGACTTTATTGCCTGGGTTGGCTTTGAACCACGATTCTCAGCTCCCTGCCTCCTGAGTAGCTAGGATTATAGGTGTGAGCCACTGCAGCCAGTGCAGGAGTGAAGTCCTTACTTTGTTCTATTCCACAATTTTGTGACCATCGCATTACTCATGGTCTCGTACTTTTTCCACTAAAGGATATCATTAGATTCACAGTTCTACTTGTGGCTTTTTGCTGGTTAATTGGCGACAAAAGTCTCTTGGACTTTTCTGATGGGCTGGCTTGGAACCTTGATCCTCAGATCTCAGCTTCCTGAGTAGCTAGGCATGAGCCACGGGCACCAGTTTATCTCACTAATTCTGTAACTTTATGGAAGCTGTCTGGCCTCTGGTGTGGCTGTTGTGGAGCAGCTCAAAGGGGTTGCTGCGAGCATTGGTTCTTTCTGGGCTGCTCAGGGTCTCCTCTGTATGCAGTGAGTCTCCTTTACAGCTTCTCCCACAACAGCCTCCTCTCCCCATGGCCTCTCCAGAGCCCACCCCTCGCAAGCATAGGCTGGCATCAGGGTTTCCCTGTTGGCCCCAGCTCCAGCTGGTCTTTTCCCGGCAGTGCCCAGCCTCACCTTGTACAGGTGCACATACTTGGAGTGTGGAAAGTGGAAGGTGGCAATAAACATCTTGACACAATGGCTCCTCAGCCCGTCCCGATACAGGTTCTCTGCCAGCATCCTTGCCATGAAGTTCTTGCCTGTGCCAGACCAGCCATGGAACGACAGAACCAGCGCCTTGTCTGGTTGGGGCATCTCTAAGTAGCTCCTGACTGCTCTCAGCACCAGCTCTCTGGCCAAATGCTGGCCATGCAGTCGCACTGTCAGGTCGGATTCCAAGCCTACGGGCAGAAAGAGGCTCATGAGAGGCAGACAGCTTGTTCCCGTCATCCCCACCCATCGCTGAGTGGAATCAGTTACTCTTCATCCCGTGTAGCTTCAGGACAAAAAGCTAGAAGACACACCTCCTGAAAGCAAGGAAGAGAGTTATTTTCTGAACTTTGTGAAATCAAGATTGAACTCAGGGTAAGAGCAAATGACTCATTCGAAAGACACCCCAGAATGGGTGACAGGGACCAGTGTGGAGTGGATCTTGCTCACATTCTGAGATGCTTCCATTCCGTAGTTTCAAGTCTCCTTAAATATGTCAATAACTGACCAAAAAAACAAAAACCAAAAGCAACAAAAAGTCAAGAAGCCAGGATTTCATCCTATTTCAATTTGGTACAGGTATGGTGAACCCATACCAGGCTGCCTTCCTGAAATCCAGGTTATAGGATTTGGAAGCCAGGAGGTTGTGCTGCTGACTGAGGTGTGGCAATTACTATTCGGAGTCCCAGATCAATCCATTTGGTATACTGTGCCAACCCAGAGGGGATGGTATGAAACTGCAAGCATCACAGTTCCCAACCCCAGTGCCACAGAAGGGAAAATGAATAGAGCTGCCTTCCCCCAAACTCAGAATCATGTGTGTCATATTTCATTTCCACAACAATTCTGTAAGGCAGACAGGAAAGGACTTCCTAAAGTTTGTCTTCTGGAAAGAGATGAGCTGGGAGTTTCATGGAGTTGCCTATGGTTTCCCAGACACCACAATTCTGATATCCAGTCCCTGGTGCAATAGTTAGGTTAAGGGGAAGAAGGTAACTTGCTGACTGTGTACTTGGGGTCTTATTCTCAACCAGCAGAAATCCCAGATCACACTTCCTGATCTGTGTGTAGGCCAAGATTCTGTCCTGTGTCAGACCCTGTCCTTATACTTAGTGACACTGGCACTTTTTCTAATTAAGAGACCTAATATCTATGTGGACGTCATTTATAGAATGACAAGAGAACTCTGAGCAAGAAATAACTCCTGGACAAACAGTAAAGAGTCACAAAGGACTTAGGGGTATTTATCAGCCAAAGTTCTGGGCTAAATACCACTCTCTGGGAGTTCAAATAATCATCAGCAATATGCAGGTAAAGCCACCTGAGGGAGGTGGATTAGTCATGACTTGAGAGAGGGGCAATTTGTAAATTATGTAATGGTTAGTATGAATTAGTTTATTGAAAAAAAAAATCTTTGTGCTGGATATAATCAAGAGACTGAGATCAGGAGGATGGAGGTTGGAAGCTAGCCTAGGCAAAAAAGTTTGAGAGATCACATCTCCACTAACAAAATGCTGAGACTGATGGTACAGATTTGTCACCCTAAATGCCATTCAGCCCAAGCAGGAGGAGGATAGTCTAGGCTAGCCTGGGCAGAAAGCAAGATCCTATTTGAAAAACAACAAAAGGCCCGGCTAATGGCTCAAGTGGTAGAGTACCCATCTAGCAAGTCAAATGCCCTGAGTTCAAACTCCAGAAATGTTATTTTTTTTTTTTTTAAAAAAAAAGAGGGCTGGGAAGGTGGCTCAGTGGTAGAGCGCTTGCCTTGCATGTCTGAGGCCCTGGGTTCAATTCCTCAGCACCACATAAGCAAAAAGAAAAAAGCCGGAAGTGGTGCTGTGGCTCAAGTGGTAGAGCTCTAGCCTTGAGCTGAAGAGCTGAGGGACAGCGCCCAGGCCCAGAGTTCAGGCCCACGACCGGACCCAAAATAAAAAAGAAAAGAATCTCTTATTTTTCTCAGCATAAAGCCACCGAGGTATCCTCACTGAACCACGAAATGCACTTTACATGCTGGAGACATTTGTTGGCTATCAGTCTGAATGGGATACTTTACTCTTTTTTTTTTTTTTTTGAGGCAGGAAGCTGCCATCTATCTGAACCTGAGCATTAGACTTACACTATTCCTGCCTGAGCCTCCCAAGAGCTAGAATTATAAAGGTGTACCACCACATTCCACTAGAAACTAGGAGCATTAAAAAAAAAAAATCAACCCTCAATTTTTGATCAGTTCTCTTAATACTGCCAACCATCCTTCAGAAGTTTCTATTCCCATTTATAGAGACAGGTACTCTGGGCTTGGTTCTCGAAAGTTCATGTAGATTTGTTGGATTATGACTTCATCCTTGTAAAATCTTCAGCACAGGGACTGGAAGATTGTAGGGATTCAATGGATTGTTGTTCTGCTTCCTCAGACCTGCTGCCAGGGCTGGCAGGAGGGTGTGGTAAGTAAGGAGTGGGAGATGAGCAGAAAAAACTTCCAGTGTAGTCAGGATGGACAATGACAATCGGGGGTCTGAGCTTGTCCTACATTTGGCAGTGTCCCTTCCTCAAAAGCTGTCTTAGCTGGGTGTGACATGATCATGGTATTTTCATGGACTCCAACAAGCTCTGAACCCTTAAACTAAAGGTGAATGGGTCTCCTGCACTGTTAAAAATAAGTAAATCAAGATACTAGGTTTCTGTGCTGTGATGTGAGTATCTTAGTTTTGTTTCCAACAACAGGATGGAGGGTTTGCGTGTAGCTCTGTAGCTGGGATTCCATCCTCAACCTAAAAAACAGTCTCCACTTAGGATGGAAGTGCTTTGAGCTCAGTTCCTACACAAGAGAATGCAAAAACCCATTAATGGCACCATTAAAATTAGTGTTACAGCCAGGCACTGGTGGCTCATGCCTGTAAACCTAGCTTACTCAGGAGGCTGAGATTTGAGGACCGTGGTTCAAAGCCAGCCTGGGTTGAAAACTCACTATGAAACTTTCATCTCCAATTAACCACCAGGAAACTGGAAGTAGCACTGTGGCTCAAAGTGGTACAGAGTGCTAGTTTCGAACAAAAGAGCTCAGGGACAGCACCCAGGCCCTGAGTTCAAGCTCCAAGATGAACAAAAGTTGGTGTTTTTCCTATTGTTGGAAGTCCTATCAGCTTAGTATCTTGCCCTAAGGTCCTCAAATATCTATAGACTTCAGTTGACCTTTCCAGTTCCTGCTTGGAGGGGAGGTTATTAGCTAGATGAGAGAAGATTCTTGCACCCCCTACAGCCGCCCTCTCTCCCCACAGGCCCTGGTGGCCATGCCAGTCTAACCTGAAAAGTTGTTGGAGATCCTGCAATCTCTTTGGCCCTCACAGCAGTCCTGGAAGCTGCAGAACCACGCGGTCAGCGTGTCCAGGGACCACTGGCCCCACTGGGGAAGGTTCCAGCCTGCAAAAGGAAGAGCTGTGAGATGGAGAGGCGACTCTTCCACCCATGAGGTGGATGTAACAAACCACTGCACGTAAGTTTTCAGGGACAGCGCTAGAATCAAAAGGGGCTGAAAAGCATCCAGCGCGGCCTCCATCGGCAGCAAAACAGCCGAGGGTGTTGGGGGGCGGGCGCCAGCTGTGTCTACGCGGGACTTTCCTCCAAGCCACCAAGCAGGCGGGAGAGGCCACGCGGCAGGTGATCCCGGACTGGGCAGGGGCAGGAGTGTGTCTGGGGAGGCGCAGGGCGCACGTGGAAGTGGGGACGGGGCTTCCCGGTCCGCAGAGGCTGCGCAGCCCAGGCTGCATGCCTGCTGATGGGCGTCTGCCCCGCCGAGCCCCCAACTCCTTCGGGCCCCGTGCAGCTGAAAAGCCAGCCTCCTACCCGGGGGGTGCAAGGTCGCCTCGTCGTCGTCCTCGCAGTGATCAGGCCACACCTGGCAGCTGAAGACGGTCCAGTACCGCCTGGAGAGGGCACCGGCCGCCCTCAGCTGCTCCTTCAGCCGCTGGATGCCAGGCCAGGACCACGCCGGGCCGGGCTCGTCTGCGCGATCCCACGGCCCCTCGGCGCCGCGGTGCCCAGGCGCCCCGGGGAGCAGCAGCAGCGGCAGCAAGAGGTGGAGGCAGAGCCAGAGCGGGCGCCGCGGGAGCGGGACGCCGAACATGGCTGGTCGGCCGGCCGGCTCTCCACCCCTCGCTGCTGGGGACTGACGGGGAGGTCCGAGATTAGGGATTGGTGTTGCCACGACGACCGGCGGCCGGCCGGGTGGGGCTAGTGAGGCACAACTTGCAAACTCGCTTCCTTGTGACCGGCTTCGGGAACTGAAACCTGGCCTGGTGTCCGGGACGCAGGCAGCCCGGGGCCAGTTTCAGGCCTTGCCCACAGACCTCCAGGACGCGATCTATTCTGGGGGTGATTGTGGTCACAAAGGTGACATCAGGTCTTAGGACCTGCAGCTATGGTAGCCCTCTTGAGAACAAGTATTTGTACTGTTTCCCCTTGCAGGCCAACTTCCTCCCAGCCCAATAAAGGAAGCTGGTGAAAGCATCTTAGCCAACAGCAGCTGGCTGCAGGAGTCAGCTGAGTGGAGAAGCCTCGAGAAGCTCCGAGCACTAGAGAGCCTGTATGGCCATGTGGCTCTGGCTCTTCTGCAGAGAACCATGAAACCAGCAAAATGAAAACCAGGTTTACACTGATGCGATCCGCCTACAGGAAGGGATGATCTCCAGTGTGGAAGTATTGGGGTTTTGGAAACCCCCTGAATCACAAGGAAATCACACCATCTCTTGTCAACAATTATAGTGCATGAAAATGCAGATTTCAATTGCTTGGGACTCCAAAGAGCCACTACTTTTTCTTCAGCTTTCTTCCTAACTGGGGACACAGAAGGAGGCAGATTTCAGGAGACCTTGGAGCATCCTGCCCTAGCTGGAAATGTGGCTAGTCCTGGTTAGTGGCTTTGAAGTGGGCTGTCCAGAGGTGAGGTGAATCCGGCCTCACAGAAGGGGTGGGTAAATACGTTTATCTGTGTCTTTGATCACATTCTATTCAGGGTTGTTCCACCTGCTGTAGGCCACCAAATTTGTCCCTCCTTTCAAACAGCCAGGGAAACCAGATTGGCACCTTTGTTAGTACAGCAAGAGATTTAGGTTGAAAAGTAGTGCATGTGTTTATATTGTGTCTTACACCACCAGTGCTATCAAAACAGAACCTAAGCTTTCTGTGGAGCCATAAATAGGGCATCAGTGCAGCCAAAACTTGTGGAATCTTTCACAGGTAGTTATCCTTGAATACACCAGAAGCTTGGCTTCTTGGGAGGTGGTGGAAACCTCTAAGAGCTGGGGTCTACTGGGAGGATTTTGGGGATTGCAGGAACCCAGTCTCTTCCTCCTTATTTTCCCTCTGATTGTGGTAAGCACTTTTGTTCCATCATGAGCCACATCCCCCCACACTGAGAGAATATACACAATGGACTATAAGCAACTTTCAAAGATGTAAACAGCCTCGAACACTGTAAATCCCAATTAACCACTTCCTTTATAAATTAACTATCAAATTTTGGTATAGTGACAGGAAGCTAGCACACTATTAGTACTTATTTGAAATCTGAAAACATTAAAGGGTCCTGCCATTGTATAGCGTCAGGTATTGCCTACCTGCTGTATGCCTGCACTTCCTCAAACTTAAGTTCCTTCAGCTGGGCATTATTCATACTATAATCCCAGCTACTCAGGTTGAGATCTGAGGATCAAGAGTCAAAGCCAGTCCAGGCAGACAAATCTAACAGACCCTAATTTTCAGTTAGCCAGGAAAGTGGGCCCTGAAGGCATGTCTCAAATGGTAGAGTGCCAGCTGTGAGCAAAAAATCTAAGTGAGAGCCCAAGGCCTGCAGTTCAGCCCCCAGTACTGGCACATTCATGCATGCACACAAAAACCCCTTCCTAGTGATACTATGAAGATTAATTCAGTAAATGCTTCATCTCAGTAACTGATTTTCATATGTCTTTATTTATATACAGTGTATTTAAAAGAATATTGAATGGCTTTAGTCCTGGTATGAATTTATGTTGATAAAAATTACTAATAGCTAATAGCAGTTGAGAGGTCTTGCTTAGCTTACCACATGCTGGCCACCTAGCCCCTAAAAAAGATGAAGATGAAAGGAAAAAAAAAGGCACTCAGAAGTTTATATATAAAAAAAACCTTGTGGAAAAAATTATCTCAATTTATAGGTAGTACTAATTTCTGAGATCTTTGGTTTAGATTTAGCAAGTCAATTCCAAAACATTCCTTTTCTTAAAGACATTGTTTTCACCAGAATAAGCCTCACACAGGAACCAAAAAAATCCATACACGAACGTTAAGTCTCAAGTACTTCAATAAATCCCTCACACTTCATTCTCAGGGACTGGAGCTACTAGCTGAAAAATTGCAGGATTAAGAGCACATGGATGATGGAGACATCTAGAGGCGACTGTGGAAACCTCCGGCATGAGCGCTAGTCACCACTGCCAAGGTATGGGAAACGTCCAGATGTCTCTCAATGGACAAACGGATCAAGGAAATGTGAGATATGAATTTTATATCTATAGATTCATCTATTGAGCATCTCTAAATTTGTATCTTACATATATATTGTGGGGAAATCTGTGGGGAACACAGGTAGCAAAGATGGCCCTGAGAGGAAGTTGAGTGGGCAGAGCCGGATTTGTTTAGGTTCAGTGTGTAAACAACTCATGGAAGCTTAGGTGCATGATAAGGCCTTTACAGTGATTGGTTGGCTCCATTTCCTCCCCTCCCACGCAGTCTTTTGCTTTAAAAAGGGGATGCTCCTTGTTAATAAACGAGTTCCTGCTTGGTTTGACTCCCAGCTGCATCTGATTGTCTCCTGGTCTAAGGGAGGCTGGGGAAGGGGGGGAGGGGGGCGCTTCACACTTAACCTTTCCTCGGACCCGGTCCATCCAAAGATGGACCAAGACCCAACATACATATGAATCATACTCCTCTAATATTTGACCACTTGCAAAGAAATTGATGGACCTGGAAAAATTTATGTTAGGAGAAATCAGGCCTAGAGAGTCAAGGGCTGCACGTTTTCATGTTTTCTCTCATGTAGAAGGTGGATCTAATTTATGGATTTTTTTTGGGGGGGGGGCAGTCCTGGGGCTTGAACTCAGGGCCTGAGCATTGTCCCTGAGCTTCTTTTGTTCAAGACTAGCACTTTACCACTTAAGCCACAGTGCCACTTCAGGCCTTTTGTTTATGTGGTACCAAGGAATCAAACCCAGGGCTTCATGCATGCTAGGTAAGCACTCTACTACTAAGCCACATCCCCAGCCAGATAGAGGTGTTAAGCAAATGTACATCATAAATGCATTAACCAAAGTAAGGTATATGCAGTGGATATGCAAAGTATATGGCAATGGTTTACCTGCTTAGAAAAACTCAGTCCAACTAAACGAATACCCGGAAGTTAGTACTCAAGATGTGCTGTGGTGAGGACTTGGGGGGCTCCGTGGGGGGTTAGAAAGATGAAGAGGGGTGCAACTGCAGTTATAATAATATACAGTGCATATCCTATGAGACTAGGGCAGGTAGAGCTGGGAAGGATGAGTAAGAGTGTTTAAAGGGTGTTAGGTATAAACTGACATACATTCTGAATGGTAACCCCTTTGTACAACTACGTAAAAACAAAACAACAAAGCTAAAAAATATGAGCTTCCTAAGAGCTGTAAGCAGAGTATTCTTCTTGCCTGTATAGTACAATCTGCTGACAAGTTGTTTAAGATTCATTTATTCTTTACTGCTAAAATGTACAAGGCTGGCTGGGTGCTGCTGCTGGCTCAAGTCTGTAATCCTAGCTACTCAGGAGGTTGAGATTTGAGGATTGCAGTTTGAAGCCAGCCTGAACAGAGTAAGTGGCGCTGTGGCTCGAAGTGGTAGAGTGCTAGCCTTGAGCAAAAGAGCTCAGGGACAGTGCCCAGGCCCTGAGTTCAAGCCTCACAACTGACAAAAACAAAACAAAAAACCTACAACATTGGAGTTAACTACTAAATATACGAGAAGCCTTGAAGAGTGATCCTAGGGAAAATGCTGGTGCAGCATGGACCTTCTGAAGACCAGTGAGAAGATTCAACTTCTTACCCCTTGGATACTGTGAAGCAATCCCTGTGGAAGGTTAAGTGGAGAGGCAAAAGAGGCAAGCTGTCCTTTATGAAACAGACAGGAAACGCATATAGGAAACAAGGAGAAATCCTGACTAGGAGAAAAAAAAAAGGTTAATATTAAAAGATGATACACAGAGTATGTATTAAAATCTTTATTTTCTTTTTTTCTGAATTGAAACCCATAGAACACAACAATTTGGGTGCACGTCTGATGTTTGGCATCCTACCAAGTATAACCTCTACTTGTGCAGCAGCGACAAGGAAATCCTTGGCAGACCAAATGAGCGTAGTGACTCCTACACCTCCCTTTAGGCAAATAAATTAGCTCCCCAGTATGTTATCTCCACTTTCCCAATGTCGTCCTTGTGAGGAACACCTCAGTTCCTGAAACCAGTGTGACGGTCCCTACTCACCACCCAGACCGGAGCAATGAAAGGGCATGAAGTCAGCCTGCCCCACAGAACAGGTTCACCATGTGCGCAGCCACAGCAGGATCAGCAGAGCCGCTCAGCAGGTGTTTGCTGAGCAAATGACCCTCATGTCACTCACAGACTAAGATAAATTTAATGTAGATCAGTATTTCCTTGTGTCAAAATAAATACACTTTCCTTTGCTAGAATACATAGATAGCCATATTAATTCATCCACCTTTGCCCACACTCAAGAATGACCACTCACAAGGCCGTTTGCCGACAGAGGCTCTTTTACCATCTTGGACTGGGGTCAGAGGACACAGAGAAGGCATTCTGAAGGACACAGGGCATGGGAAGGGAAAGCCAACATTTTTTTTAAAGAAAAGATGGATTTCTTTGGATGACTGCACCTTCAGGTCACATTGAGAAAGTGCCATGTGTAAGATTCAACTTTCCCCAAATAGTATATAAAAAATGTTCCTAAATTCCTTCATTTTCTTCTGAAAATTTGACATATTAACCCTGAGTGCAAACAGGGAGAAATGCCTTAAATATATATGGAACAATATTCTGAACGAATTAAGAGCAGAAAAATTACTTATACTCCTGTCCCAAAACCACAGTGCAGCCTCATTTTTAAGAATAGTTTTAGAACGAAACCTTACATCCTTGGGTTCCCAATTCAAACTTCAAAATACACGTTTTTAAGAGTGTGAAGAGGGCAGAATACACTAACTGGTTCTCATTTTCCTAATTTTATATTAAAATGTATCCATATTCAGTTGGCATATCCAATTTAGAATTGACCAAAATCTCTCCAATGACTTGATTACACTATCCCAAGCTCCCAATAAATAAGTAAACCAAAAGAGGTTGCTGTCACAAAACTTCAAAAGAAGATAGCTACTTTTTTCAAAGTAAACTTAGTGTTTATGAATTTTAAGGCCACTAGCTTTTATGGTTGGTTTTCTTCAAGGTTCACCCAGGTAGACGTTTCCAGCATAATCCAGTCTTAACTAGAACACAATTCTCTCAGTGTCATGTCACACCATTCTTAGCTGTGGGTCTGAGCATCTTTTAATATCCTGGGTGTGAAAATAGGGAAAAGAATAAGATGACACTTTTTTTGTAACTTCTTTGAAGAAAAGACAAGATGTTTTTTCTTTTTTTGGGTGGGGGTCCGGTCATGGGGCCTGAACTCTGGGCCTGGGCGCTGTCCCTCAGCTCTTCAGCTCAAGGCTAGTGCTCTACCTCTTGAGCTACAGCGCCACTTCCAGCTTTTTTCTTTTTGCTTATGTGGTGCTGAGGAATCGAACCCAGGGCCTCATGCATGCAAGGCAAGCACTCTACCACTGGGCCACCTTCCCAGCCCCAAGATGTTTTTTCAAAGCAGCTTTCCATCCTATGTTTTTCCTCAGCAGAATCTTCTGCTTCCACATTAGGAAAGAAGTTCCCAGTTTGAGAATGGTGGTTCTTTGTGTGGTATACTAAAGGCAACATGTCTGAAAAGACACTAAACCATAATTTCGTTCGATCAGAAGTTACTTAGAGCAGAGCTGACTAATGTTCTGCTGTCTCCTACCAATGGCTCCCTACAGCTCTGGGGTGAGCACTGACTAAGGTATTCTCTAGCTGAACTGAGAATTAGTCTGGACACCCACAGAAAGCAAGTAGCCTTAAAACTGCAATCAATGTCTCCTTTGGTTAACACTGTGTTTTGTGCTAGTATTTTTTTAAATTCAATATCCCCTTAAAAGAAAGAAACAGCTCATTCTTACATCCACCTCAAAGTGCATACAGATCATATGAAAGTTTTATGATTTCATTCTGTTTTAAAGTAGTTACAGTGTACTTAGTTTCGGTGAGAGAAAACTTGGGGCATAGATGCAAATGGTGTTTTTCAAAGTATATAGCTGCCTAAAACTGCTAAGCAATGGTAGGCATTAGTGTCCTCAACCACACTGCTTAGATTACAAGTCTCTGCCTGACAGAAGTGCAGGATCAGAACAAACCCGGACTAGTTGGGCGAGAAAGAGCTCTGAGGGCACTGGAGAGTGGGCAATGCAGGCCTGGCCCTTGGCCCTATAATTTACTGTAGCTGCTTACATGTCAAAACCACCTTGGCAGAACCCAAAGCTAAACCTGTGGTTTAGCAACCTAAAGTTGAGAGTACTATGAGGAGAATATTACTACCTCATGAGCTCAGAACTCAACATGAGACTCAACGATGAATGTAGGATCTGGAATAAATCAAAATCTGGATGCTCCTTCTGGTAACTTCTTTAATTTCAAGACTCAGAAGGCCTGAAATCTTTTATTCTAATCTTCAAACAGCCTAACTCACAAGCTGAGCTACCATCAAGCAGGGGGTGTATTATCTGCTGTATAGCACAGTTGCCTTTTCTCACATGGCAAAAGCAGGACTGCAGATCTGCTGGGCACAGCACCTTTCATGCCCAAATGTCCAAAAGCAGTGGGGGGGAATATACTTCAGAAGAGAAATGAGGATGGCAGAGACTGCCATAATTCCTGACCTTTACTCAAGGTGTTATCAAAAGTTTGCTTTGTTAATTAGAATTTGCCTACTTTAGGCAAAAAGGTGGAAAAGAAAAAAGCTCCATAAAAGGAATCGTGCTTGAGTTGTAAGAGTATTTTCTACAGAAACAATATTTTGGTTAATCTGGACACGACTGTAGCTCTGCAGCTTTTACTTACCCACGAAGTACATAGAACTGAAATAGAGGGGAACTTGTTTTCAATCGATGATTCTGATTCTACTAGATGAGTCTCTTTCCTTCCCTTCCCTGAGTTAGTCGAAACTATAATACCCAATTGTTTAAAAGCCTGAACATGTTCCTCTTTGTCTTTCCTTCCAATTCTATCTTAAAAATGGATCTCTTCAACAGTGTGCTATTTTGGCTCAACATAATGAAGGTTTAATTTGCTGCCATGCTGAAGGAGGCAGTAAGCCTTCCAATTTGACTAGCCCTGGGACAAAAAAGACAAGAGTCTGTGAAATAGTTCTACAAAATCCACAGGTGTGGAGAACGTCTGCAAAGTTTACCTCAAAACACACACTCTGAAGCCAGTGCCAGCATTTACCGATCCAAATGCCACACCTGTTTGTCCTTTGGCATGGGATTCATAAAGACTGACCACTGTTAGAAAGGGCAAGTGCTAAGAAATTCAGCTGATTCTGCAGAAACAGCTCATGCTCTAATGGTCATGGTCTTTGCTTTAAGCCTTACCTACTACAGAAAACCCCAGAAACCCCCAACGCTACCCTGTCCTTTACCAACAGAACTTGCCACTGGCCACCACCTGCAAGCCGTCTCATGCCATTTGGAGTTGATTGTGCTGTTTTTCTATCTTCGTAAAAATAAGTTTCACTTATTTTGTGTTGAAAATCACAAGTGCGAGAGAGGCATCCTATCTTCTACCAGCACAGTGTCCATCCCAAACTGGTCAGTGCACTGCTTTATGGTGGCCAGGACATTCAGGAGCCGCTGGTCTACTGCATCCAGGTGAAAATCAGACAGCACGGGGGAGATGGGGTCATGGGCCAGGGCAGCTTTTAAGGCAGACTTTAGCACTCCATTCTTAAGGTAGTTCAGTCTGTTCCAGGTAGAAACCCGAATGCTGAAAGAAAAAGATTTAGACAAGTTACATAAAAACTATCAAATTGAGTTTAAAGCCCACATGGCAGACAAAAGTTTTAAAAAATTACATAAAATATTTAAACTAGAAAAACCATTTGTTTCAGAATGACCTCTGCATGAGAAAGCCACATTATCAGGTTTTGGTTTGATTTATGGGTAGCTATACCTACATACACATACACACACACACACACACACACACACACATATGCTCAATAAAGGAAGGACAGGAACTAAGGAACGACACTGGTTAAGATGCTTGTTACCCATAAGCTAACATGTTGAAACTCCTCTGTATATCAAGTAAAAAATTAAAAAAACAAGCCCAAAATGTGAACTAATCTTAATGTCCAACAATTGGAATAGTCAAACAAATCATAGCTCATCCATTCAGAGAAATCATGCAGCCATTAAAAAAAGTTTTGAAAATTTAGTATGGCATGATGTTAGAGGAAACCAATCTTTCACTTTAAATTTGTGAGATAACAAAACGTGTGTGTAAAGACACGACATGATTAGAATGAAGCACATTACAATGTTAACAGGCATCACCCTTGGATGTAAATGGGGAACTTAATTTCCTCCCTCCTTCGTGTTTCTAAGTCTATATTCCTACCACAATAGGGATTTATTTATTTATTCATTGTGCCAGTCTGGGGGCTTGAATTCAGGGCTTGGTCTCCATCCCTGAGCTTTTTTACTCAAGGTTGGAGGCTTACCACTTGAGCCACAGTTCCACTTCTAGCTTTCTGTTGGTAACTGAAGAGTCTTACAGTCTTTTCTGCTCATACTGGCTTTGAACTGCAATCCTCAAATCTCAGTCTCTTTAGTAACTAGGGTTACAGGCATGGGCCACCAGTAGTGCCTAGCTTTATTTGTTTTTATTATCTTCAAAGGACATGCCATTTAACAAAGTACTTTGAGTATAATGCATCTTGATAAATGTCACCCCTTTTCACATTCTAACCTATTCCTCCCAATGCACCCCCTTCCCTTGCTTTTCTTAATTTTGTAGGCTATACATTGAATTCTTGACTGTAGCTCTCCCAATTTCTCCTACAAAAAAAGTTCTTAATCTCCGTATGGATGAAGAGATTACTAAATAGGCAGGAATGTCTGATTGCAAATGGAAGCCTATTGTGCAATGACTTAGGTAGACCGAAGCTTGCATAAAGCACAAAAATGATGGACGTGCAGATTTTTTTGAGGGGGGGGGGGGGGTTGGTCATGGGGCTTGACCTTTGGGCCTGGGTGCTGTCCCTCAGCTCTTCAGCTCAAGGCCAGTACTCTGCCACTTGAGCCACAGCACCACTTCCAGTTTTCTGGTGGTTAATTGGAGATAAAGAGTCTCAAGGACTTTCCTTGCCCTGGCTGGCTTTGACCCACAATCTTCAGATCTCAGCCTCCTAAGTAACCAGATTTCTTATTCTAAATAATTCTATAAAGCACAAAGTGTCAGAATTTCCCCCATGTGGACTCACATCCAAATTCACCGTTCAATATATCGTCTCCCAAAGTGGATGAAATCCTGTAAGTATCTTTCTTCTTTAAGTTTTCTCAGTAGAGGGATACCGCAGGAAGAAGGGGGCTCTCTGGATGCTTCTGGCTGAAATAGTGGGTTGGTGATACAGAAGGAGGTCATCTAAATTTCCAGAAGATAATCTTGAAGCCTCAGCTAGGACTGGTGATAACTTTTCAGAGGCTCTCCTGACAGAGGATCCAGAGCCTTGCAGGCTACCCGCCCACCCTAGTTCAATCAGCAAGCCCCCAAAGTGCCGTAATGGTGCCCAGAAGATTCCTACTGAATAAATAACCTCTTCCTCTCCAGACTGCGGCCTGCCTACACTCCACCTGGACTCCAGAGGGTTGTTGCAGCTTGCCTACCTTCCAGAAGTCAGCCTTTCCCTGCTAGTTAGTGAGCTGACTGTCCCTTTTCCATGGAGGCCCAAATTGTTGCCTTTTCTATGTCTTTCCTTCCTAGGCTGTGTTCCTTCATCCCGTCTTTGTTATGCTCACTGCTGCATTAAAGTTTAATAATTTCTAAATATTAAATACCCCCAGCTTAACAGACGTCTTTCTATTTCCTGGTTAAAGCACACTGGTATTATCAACTCAACATACATCTTCTTTCAATTCTTGATTATATGTACTGTTACTTCCCAGCATCAATAAATATAATTAAGGATTACTTGAGTAAATTCTTTGTTTTTTTTGGAAGTACTAATGACTGAACTTAGAACTTCTAATTTACTAGGCAAGTGTTCTACCAGTTCAGCCATGTGTGGGTAGCCCATAAATGTTACTTTTGGCACAGTTTTGTTGCTATTAAAACAAAAGGTTGGGCGCTGGTGGCTCACGGCTGTAATCCTAGCTACTCAGGAGGCTGAGATCTGAGGATTGCACTTCAAAGCCAGCCCAGGTAAGAAAGTCTGAGACTTTTCTCTCCAATTCAACACCAGAAAACTGGAAGTAGTGCTGTGGCTCAAAGTGGTAGAGTACTATCCTTGAGCCGAGGAGCTGAGGAACAGGGTCCAGGCCCCATGACTGACAAGGAAAAAAAAAAAAAAAAAGGTTCAGCTTAGCTCAGTGGGACAGCACTTACCCAGCATGTGCGAGACCGTGAATGAGGTTGATCCCTACACTGCAAAATTAAAAATTAAAAAAAAAGAAAGGGAGAAAGGGAGGAAGGCATTTTTAAAAAAAAAAGAGAAAGCAAAGCAGACCAGGTCCTAGGAAAGGCCAGCAGTCTCACTTGCCATGTGAATGCTTCAAAACTTCATCTTCTATATACTTAACAGGTGAACAGCAATGATTCTTGATGTACATACTTTTTTTGTTGTTACTGTTTTGTGGGGCTTGAACTCTGGGCCTGAGCCCTGTCCCTGAGCATTTACAGATCAAGGCTAGCACCCTACCACTTGAGCCACAGTGCACTTCCAGTTTTCTTTTTTTTGTCGGTCGTGGGGCTTGAACTATGGGCCTGGGCGCTGTCCCTCAGTTCTTCAGCTCAAGGCGAGCGCTCTACCACTTGAGCTACAGCGCCACTTCCGGTTTTCTGGTGGTTTATTGGAGATGGGAGTCTCACGGTCTCTCCTGCCCGGGGTAGCTTTGAACCTCGATCCTCAGATCTCAGCCTCCTGAGTAGCTAGGATTACAGGCGTGAGCCACCAGCGCCCAGCCACTTCCAGTTTTCTGAGTGGTATATTGGAGATAAGAGTCTCTCCCAAAGGAGGAGGCTGCAATGCTTGGTAAAAAATGTACACATTATCCTGCCCATGTAATTGTAACCCCTCTGTACAGTATGTTCACAAATAAAATTAAATTAAAAAAAAAAAAGAGTCTCTTGGACTTTCCTGCTTGGGCTGGCTTTGAACCGTGATCCTTAGATCTCAGTCTCCTGAGTAGCTAGGATTACAGGCACCTGGCTCATACTTAACTTTTTGTTTTCTACAGAATTTTCTCTTATTTTCACAATCCACTATTTTTTGTATACCTTCCATATATCATTTCATGTCATCTTTGTCTACAATTAAAGAAACTGGTAGGTATAGTTTTTCTTTTACTTTTTTAAAATTTAATTTTATTATAAAGGTGATATACACAGGGGCTACGGTTATATAAGTAAGGTAAAGAGTACATTTCTTGTTAAACATTGTTACCCTCTCCCTCATTTTTCTCCTGCTTCTCCCCCACCCCATGCTGTACAGTTCATTTCCAACACAGTGTCTTGTGAGTATCGCTGTTGCATTGGTTCACCCTTTGTCCTTTGTCTCACCATTTTATTACTCCCCTTTCCCTTCCCAAATCAGAAAAACACATATATAAGACACAGGGTACCAGAATCCAAAAGTGACAACAGGGGATACACCAAAGAAAAAAAAAAGAAAATTAAAAATATATTGAAGGGTGAATTTGGATGAGAGGCAGTAAGATTGAGGTAGTCCACATGGGGAAACTCTTCTGCTCTGTGCATTTATAGACTAATTTAGAGTAAGAAATCTGCATGTCCATCCTCTTTGAGCTTTATGCACATTAAAAACAACATTAAACATTAAAAACAGCAACAACAACAACAAAAACTCATTTCCACATCTCTGAGTTCATTTCGATTAGCATCATTTGATATGGTCAGATGTACGTAGCTACTGAGCTACTGTGATCCTCTGCGAGGACACATACGAATGTTTCTAGTTCAAGGACATATAGCAGGTAACTGGCAGATCTAGGATTCCAACAGCCGCCTTTCTGCCAAGGGGAAGGAAAGCCTTTGCCTTTGTTCAGGAAGAGCTGCCATCTTCTGGCTAACACTGAACACTTCCTGGCAGTCAGATGCATTTTTCTACATACTTTTCTCACTCTTAGATTCAGGAATGGGAGGATCTCAGTTCTAGAACTGTCTATAGATAGAAACCAAAGAATACATTCTGTCCAGTATGAGTGAATGTGTGCACCAGACACATAATGATATAAGTACTTTAAAATGAGATGAGAATTAATGACCCGAGACAGGAGCTCCTTAGAGCTCAATTTTTATCTCATTTTCTTTGTTCTCGATATAGACATAAAGCAATTATTAAATTCTTATAAAAAGCTGCTTGTGGTTTATACAGTTTCATACTTAAAGAGACAGCACCCAGGTATGGTGCAAGTCCCAGTACTAGCACAAGAAACAAAACAAACAAAGATATGCAAACATAGGAGGTATGTGATGGGCAAGGGCCTTAAAGCCCCTAAGAAACAGGACTGTAGCCAGTATGTATATAGATTTTACTTCAATTTTGAGGACAATGGGATAGGACATGTGAGGAAGTTGATTAGATTTTGATATTAAACCAAACACAGATATGTATTACTAACGAGATTATGAACTTCTATTCATACAGTATTAAAAATGAATTCTGAGCCTTGAATTACTTTACCTTTCCCTGGTTCAGGAAGATCTCAGGATGTCCAAGGGCTTTAGATTGAAAAAGTATGAAAAGCACTGTTCAGAGACTTACAATCAAGAAAACTTATGTACTGCTATTCTGCGAACCTGAAAAAGAAGGCAGTGCAGGTACACGCGTTTGCTGTGCGTAACTTACATGCAACACTGATAGAGAGGGGCAAGAATGCTTCTCTCATCCAGCGAGGGGTTCCCAAAGCTGAAAACCAAATTAAAACTTAGTCAATTAGGTGGAAGTATCAGTTCTCATCTCATTATCAAAGCAACAGCAAATTCTGTATGAAACCCAAATATAATCCTAGATAATTTCATGCTCCAGCAGCTAAAATCATTTAAATTAAAAATAAGCAGGGCATGACCAATTAGACACAGCATCAGTAACAGCCTGTACTGAAGTATCTACAAATAACTCATCTACAAGGACCCTATTTCCTGCTAAGATACTGTATGCAAGCTGCTGGAGTCTAACTATGGCAACAGAGTATAGAGTTCATGGACCAAAGGGATGGAATGTGAAAACCTCTTAACTTGAGAACTCTTAACCTTGTTTATGTGTTCTCCCAAACAAGCAGATGGCCATTAGTTAAAAAAACAAGCTATACTGTTCTACTCCAAAATTACCAATATCCTATTCCTTAAGGTGCAAATATAGGCAAAGTTTCAAATGGCAAAACTGCAGTTTTCACAACGGCTGAGAAAACACTGATTCAATACAGATATAAAAATGGTAATAGAGCCAGTGCCAGTGGCTCACGCCTGTAATCCTAGCTACTCAGGAGGCTGAGATCTGAGGATCACAGTTCAAAGCCAGCCCAGGCAGGAATGTCCGTGAGACTCTTATCTCCAATATACCACTCAGAAAACCGGAAGTGGTGCTGGCGCTGTGGCTCAAGTGGTAGAGAGCTAGTCTTGAGCTGAAGACAGTGTCCAGGCCTAGAGTTCAAGCTCCACGATCAACCAAAAAGAAAGAAAGAGAGAAAGAGAGAGAGAGAGAGAGAGAGGGAGAGGGAGGGAGGGAGGGAGGGAGGGAGAGAAAGAAAGAAAGAAAGAAAGAAAGAAAAAGATAATAGAGCTGAGTGCTGGTGGCTTAAGCCTGAGATCCTAGGTACTCATGACAGATCTGAGGTTTGAGGGGCTGGGAAGGTAGCTCAGTGGTAGAGTGCTTGCCTTGCATGCATGAGGCCCTCGGTTCGATTCCTTAGCACCACATAAGCAGAAAAAGCCGGAAGTAGGGCTGAGGCTCAAGTGGTAGAGAGCTAGTCTACAGCTGAAGAGCTGAGGGACAGCGCCCAGGCCCAGAGTTCAGGGCCCATGACCAACAACAACAACAAAAGAAAAAAAAAAGAGAAAGATCTGAGGTTTGAAACTAACCAGGAAATGAAAGGCCATGAAACTTTATCTCCAGTTAACCACCAAAATGCCAAAAGTGGAGCTATGGCTTAAATGGTAGAGAAAAAGAAACCTCAGGGACAATGCCTAGGCCCTGAGTTCCAACCCCAGGTCCAGCACCAGAAAAAAAGGTATTAGGAACCCAGCAATCGTTGCCATACCAGCAATCTTAGCTACTCAGGCTCAAATTTGGTTTGAAGCCAGGCAGGGCAGAAGAGTTAATGGGACTCCATCTACAATTAACCAGTAAAATACCAGAATAGAAGTATGGTTCAAATAGTAGAGCAAGAAAGCTGAGAGCTCAAAGCCTTGATTCTATCAGCAGGAGAGGGGGGAACAATTCAGAACTGGGAAAAGAGAAGCAATTATGGAGAATTTGTCAACCTTTCACTCTTTTCCCCAAATCTCACCTTAATTTATGGAGGTCTGCTACCTTGTAGTACACGGTAGGCTCTCCAATAATAATAGGGAAAGCAGCTGCTACAGTATGAGATATTTGTATCCCCACCCCATAAATTCATGTTAATACCTAACCCCCCCATGCAACACTATTAAGAGGTAAAGCCTTTAAGAAGTGACTACATCATGAGGAAAGAATCTCATGCATGGATTTGTGCCATTAGGAAAGAGGCCAGCAGCGCTTGTGTACCTCTTCTACTACATGAGGACATCGAAGGCACCATCCATGAGGAATGGCTCCTCACGTGATAATGAATCTGCTGGCACCTTGTTCTTAAAACTTTCCATCCTCCCCAACTGTGCCCAATAAAATTTTGCTGTCTATAAGTAACCGTTGTTCCAACAGTTTAAAGGGATTAAGATAGTAACTGTTTTGGGACATATAAGGTATTACATGCCGCCAGGGGCTGGGTAGCTCATGTAACTACTCAGGAGGCTGAAATCTGAAGATTGAGGCTTGAAGCCAGCCTAAGCAGTAAAGTCCATTAGACTCTTTATCACCAATAAACTACTTAGAAAAAGCTGGAAGGGACACTGTGGCTCAAGTGGTAGAATGCTAGCCTTGAGCACAAAGAGGCTCAGGGACAGCGCCCATGACAGGCAAAAAAACTACCATTTTTACAAGTAAGGATAAAGTTTAGGAGTAAATATAGGACTGATCACTACCTGCTGTGGTCAGAAGAGTAGTGTTGTTTATAGACCCTTTACTTTCTGTAACTATCACGAACTTTCACAGAGCATGGGGTGCCTGTTGCTCAGTAGAAGATGGTACAAATGCTGCTCAAGCATTCTTTGCTGAGGAGCCATGCCTAAGCTTATTCCCAGCATCGTGGGTTGCAGAAGTAACCAGGGCTGGGCAATTCTGGGCTCTAAGGAAGCATTCTTCAGCAAACACTTATATAGTATAATTGAAATATTTCTTTGAACTGAACTGGCTCCCTTGGCAAATGCAGAGGGCAAAATGGAAATAAAATGTGCTCTCTAAATAACTCAGGCCTACAATAATAAGGATGTTGTTCTATTTGTTCAAAATGAATAAGCTTGTCTTAAAAGTTAACTTGTCTTTATATAAAATCACTGTATAACTGCTCATCTCATGGGTCTAAGCTGTCTTAAAAATAACAAAACATACCATCAAATGCTTAAAATGCACAAACCTTGAGATTCCATATAATCATAAATAAATTCTATTTGATTAAATCTGAATGTCTCAGATTTGAGGTTATGTAAACATCATAGCCAAGAATGATATAGATAGGGACAAATTGGCTTCTAGTTGTAAAGAGGATCACTTTCTAGTTTTCAACAGCATTTCAAGGTGCATTTCCTGTACTCTGAAATTACTCAGGATGAAGGGAAGGAGGAAGGGAAGGAGGGATACCAAGAGCTAAGGCTCTAAGTGGAAAAAGGAGGACTTTTTAAAAAAATTAATTGTGGCCGGGTGCTGGTGGCTCATGCCTGTAATCCTAGCTACTTAGGAGGCTGAGATCTGAGGATCGCGGTTCAAAGCTAGCCCGGGCAGGAGAGACCGTGAGACTCCTATCTCCAATAAACCACCAGAAAACCGGAAGTGGCACTGTAGCTCAAGTGGTAGAGCGCTCGCCTTGAGCTGAAGAGCTGAGGGACAGCGCCCAGGCCCAGAGTTCAAGCCCCACGACCGACAAAAAAAATAAAATTAATTGTGCTCTAGATACCTGCTTTAGTGTACATCTAAAGTGTTCTCCAAAGGCTCATATACAAAGGACAAGTGACCAGCCTATGGTGCTACTAGAAGTTGGTAGAACAAAGTCATATATCCCATTGGGGATATATAGCTGAAGAGGGTACTGAGATTCTGGCCTCTTCATTTCCCAGATGCTATGAGATGAGCACTTTGCTCCACTACATGCTTCAAGCCTCATCACAAGCCCAGATACTTTGGAACCCATCAGCCATTGACTGAAATCTCTGAAACAGTGAGGCAAAATAAACATTTCATCCTGACATTGGTTTATCTCAGGTATCTGTCACAGTGACTCATAGCTGACTAACACAATGCCCTAGAATATCCTTTTGTATACAGAAACTGACTAACGATAGTCCTGCTGGTCTTACCTTTTGGCATTATCAAGAAGGATTAGCATACTAGCGCCTTCGTCATCTTGAAAGCTCTCATAGTGATGTCGGTCAGCATTGCCAATCAGGTAATCAAAGACTGCAGTATCAATGATGTCTAAAAGGCGTGGGCCTGAGTCATATGGGGATGTTTTCTTAACAGCATCACAGTAACTCTCATCATACTCCCACCTGGAGACAAGGAACATCACAAGGGTCATTACTGAGTGCCAACACTACACCTGGCTATTTAGTTTTGATCTTAAAAGTCACCCAAAGACCATGTGCGAAAGGACTGGTTGTAGCCAGTGGCGCTACTGAAGGATAAGGGCTGGTGGAAGGAAGTTGAATCACTGGGGGCATGACCAGAAGGGAATATAGGACCCAAATGCTACCTCTTTTATCTTTTTGCTTCCTGACCATAATGAAGTGAGCAGCTTTACTCTATGACAGATTCCCATTGTAATGCTCTGCCTTTCCACAGTCCCAAAACCAATGGAGCCAACCAAGCAAAGGCTAAAAGACCTGAAACACGAGCTAAAAGCCTCTTTTTAAATTTACTTATCTTGGGTATTCTGTGGTTCAGAGGCCTTTTGAGTTTGGAAAAGTTTGGGGAAGCAGGCTAAAGAAAGGCTGGAATGCCGGAAGCAAAAGTTAATGGGTGATTTTGGGATAGAAAAGGCTATGCTGACTGGAATCTCAGATGGAAAGAAGGCTCTATTGGCGATTGGATTAGAGGCCATTCATATTACATTTGACTGAGAACTTGTCTACATTTTTTTCTATGCCGAGATTTAGCAGAAAAGCTAAATTTAAAGGTGCAGAATCATTTATATGTTGGGGGAACGCAGCAGAATGGTTATTTTAACTGTATTTACTATGAGAAACACGAGTAAACATAGAGCAGAAAGAATTATAAAGAAACTTGCAGTCTGACAAGAAAACAAGGGCATATAAAGTTCAAGTCAACATATTTAGCACCATCAAAAAGGAGTCAAGAACTCTGTAACAACAGGAGAGATGCCAGGCTGAACCGAGAGTCTAGGGAATTACTCAGCCATTGAGAAAGACACTCAGAAGCTGCAGCAGTCCAAGCAGCCTGGCTACTGTGACAGAGAGCAGCAGCATCCATACAGAATGTTAGAATTATGGGGCTATGGAGGTTTCCATTGAGATTTCAAATGAAGGCCTGGAAGTTTCTGCAAGTAGCTTCTACATAAAACTGTAAGAGTGAAGCCAAAGCTACAATGGAGACTACAGGAAGTCATGAGATGCAAGAACAATAAAATGCCTATCTGCTGAAGTTCTAGGCAGTAAGCCGAGCCAGCCCAAGAGGGTAGCCATATGGGCTATAACCAGCAAGGCCATAGGGGGTGGGACTGACCGAGGTCTCTGAGGTTCACATTATACCATTGTATGCTCTGGATGGTGGTCATGGAGCTTAAAGGATTTACTATTTGCCCCTCTGGAGTTCAGTCTTACTTTGGTCCAATCCTTTCATTTTCCTATTTCTCCATTTTTGAAATGATTCGGAATGTTTACCTTTGTAATCATTTTTTTTTTTTTTTGGTCCGGTCGTGGGGCCTGAACTCTGGGCCTGGGCACTGTCCCTCAGCTCTTCAGCTCAAGGCTAGCTCTCTACCACTTGAGCCACAGTGCTACCTCCGGCTTTTTTCTTTTTGCTTATGTGGTGCTGAGGAATCGAACCCAGGGCCTCAGGCATGCAAGGCAAATGCTCTACCACTGAGCAACCTTCCCAGCCCATCATTTTTATCTTGGAAATATGTAACTTGTTCCTTTTTTCTTATTTTCAGGGGCTTACAGCTAAGAGTCTGCCTTGAGTCTTGGAGAAGACTCTGGAACCCTGATTTTTCAGCAATGTTGGCACAGTTAAAGACTTTCAGGACTCTTGGAGATGGGCTGAACACATTTTACATTGTGAGATGTAAAATTGGGAGCCGAGTAGAATGTTACGGTTTGGACTTTAAATATCTCCCAAAGATAATATACTAAAGACTTGATTCTCAGCCGGTGGCATTACTGGGAGCTGATGGAACATTTATAAGAAGTTTATGTCGGGCTGGGAAGGTGGCTCAGTGGTAGAGCGCTTGCCTTGCATGCATGAGGCCCTGGGGTCAAGTCCTCAGCACCACATAAGCAGAAAAAAAAAGCCAGAAGTGGCGCTGTGGCTCAGGCGGTAGAGCGCTAGCCTTAAGCTGAAGAGCTGAGGGACAGCGCCCAGGCCCAGAGTTCAGATCCACGACCTGCCAAAAAAAAAAAAAAAAAGAGCATGTGTAAAGGGGACATCAGAGCCTCGGCCACCGCCCCCCCCCTCTGCTTCCCAGCCACATTGAAGCAAGCAGCCTCCTCCACCTTGTGCTTCTGCCACAAAGCACTGTACCATTTTAGGCCCGAAGCAATGTAGTCAAGAGACTATGGACTAAAATCTTTGAAATTATGAGTCAAAAGAAATTTCTCCTCCTTTTCAGTTGATTGACCTCATGTATTTGTTAACAGTGACAGAAAGCTAATACAGTGGCTACTAAAAACACCTGTAATCCTAGCTACTCAGGAGGCTAAGATCTGAGGATCATGGTTCAAAGCCAGACCAGGCAGGAAAGTCCATGAGACTCTGATCTCCAATTAACCACCAGAAAACTGGAAGTGGCACTGTGGCTCAAGTGGTAGAGCACTCACCTTGAGCTAAAGAGCTCAGGGCCAGTGCCTACGCCCAGAGCTTAAGCCCCTTGACCAACAGGAAAAAAAAAATAAAACAAAACCAACAAAATAAAAACGCAAACAACAACAAAACAGAGAAGAAAGTCCCTGCTTAACAGGTTGCCCCTGACTCGAGAACTCTTATTTTTGGATAGAACAGCTGGCTTCTATTTAGGACTGGCATCCGGCCTGGCCCTGGAAGAATTAAGTAGTGGCTCACAGGAACGTTTACCTGGCTAATTTGCCTTCTCTGTAAGTCCTCCCCCAGGGGTGTCGATGCTTCTGCAGAGGCCACACATCTGGGAGCCAAAGTGTAACAGATCCCTCCATTGTGTCTCCATCGGCACATGCTGGCTCTGTTTCTCGGCAGTAATAGCACTTCCCATAGAAACAAGTATTGTTTCCTAAAGGATGGAAAGGATCCAAACACACTTAAAGAAAAAAAAAACCAAAAAACTCCCAAATCTTCCCAAACAGGGAAATGAAAGCAGCAATGTAAGCAGGCCTTAAGAAAGTGAGAATCCTGAACTTCCTATTATATAGTTCAGATGGTATAAAAAAAAAAAATCCAAAAAGTATAAACGGGCACATATTAGAAAGTAAATCTCCCTTCTTTCTTCTATCTGGCATGTGTCAGAAGTCAACTACCATCACAGAACCTTTGTAAACTCTTCTGATTAAAGAGAAAAGAAGTATCTTCTTGTTTTTCAGCAGCAAAGAGGTTCTAGTTAAAGTACCAAGAGGAAGAAGAAAGGGGACCTGTGCTCAGTTCAGTTATATATGTTGAAAAGGGAAAAGCAAACAAGTGAACAGATTAGGGATAACAGAAACCAAGTGTCTCATAGATGGAGAAGTTGAACATACAGCAGGAAGATGGCCAGTCTAAAACCTATCACCAACTAGAATTGGAGATACTGGTTTTAATCAAAAGTCTTAATCGATACCCAGACATACAGAAAAAGATACATATGCGGATATTCATATGCACACACACACACATCCTATGCTGTCCTAGAAACAATGACATTTAAGTAGTAATGGGCACACTCACATTCAGTTTCTAGTGTAAAAATGAACAACAATAACATACAAGCAAACAAAACATAGCTTATATGAAACCTGTTAGTTGTGCCTGGCACCCGTGGTTCATGCCTATAAACTTAACTACTCAGAATGTTGAGACTTGAGGATCCCAGTTCAAAGCCAACCTGGACAGGAAAGTCAGTGAAACTCTGATCTCCAATTAACCATCAAGAAAAAAAAAAAAAGTAGGACTGGGAAGGTGGCTCAGTGGTAGAGCTCTCGCATGTCTGAGGCCCTGGGTTCGTTCCTCAGCACCACATAAGAAAAAAGCCGGAAGTGGTGTTGTGGCTCAAGTGGTAGAGCACTAGCCTTGAGCCAAGAGCTGAGGGACAGTGCCCAGGCCCAGAGTTCAGGCCCCACGACTGGACCCACCCCCCCCTCAAAAGAAAAAAAAGTGGCAGTAGAACTATGGCTCAAGTGTTAGAACACTTGAGTTTGGAAAAGTTAAAGGACAGGCTCTGAGTTCAAGCACACACACACTGCACACACACACACACACACACACACACACACACACACACACACACACAAAATATAGCGTATTAGTTAAGAATTTTGGGTCTGCATTAGATTTCTAGATTTAAACATTAACAAATACTAAGCATATTTAGATTTATATATAAAATATGTATTATATTATTATATACACATACACATACATATATATTTCTCTTTGGGGGGTGCTGGGATCAAACCCAGAGCTTCATAAATGCTAAGAAAGCACTTAACCACTGAGCTGTACCTCAGTCTTAAAACATAAAAGATTTAAGAGGTGACAAGATTAGGTATATCCTTTCACCTCTCCATATCTTCTTTAGAAAATGGAGATAACAGTTAGTTGCTCAACTGTTGAGTGTAAAGAGTGAGATAATCTGTAGTGCTGGAGTACTGAGTCATACCTCTTAGCTGAGAAACAATTTTTAAAATACAACAACATGAAATAGGCCAAAATGCTGGGCACTGATGGCTCACGCCTGAAATCCTAGCTACTCAGGAGGCTGAGATCTGAGGACTGAGGTTCAAAGCCAGCCCAGGCAAGAAAGTCTTTGAGACTCTTATCTCCAATTATCCACCAGAAAACTGAAAGTGGTACTGTGGCTCAAGTGATAGGGTGCTAGCCTTAAGATGAAGAGCTTAAAGACAGGGCCCAGACTCCAGCCTCACACCAATTAAAGCAAAGCAAAGAACAGATAAGATCTGAAGCTGGGTGCAGGCGGCTCACTACTACTGTAATCCGAGCTACTAAGGAGGCGGAGATCTGAGGATCACAGTTTGAAGCAAATCCATGCAAGAAACTACATGAGACTCAACTCCAATAAACTACTCAAAAAATCCACAAGTGGCACTGTGGCTCAAGTGGCAGAGTGCTCGCCTTGAACAAAAGGAGCTCAGGGACAGTACCCAGGCACAGAGTTCAAGCCTCAGGACCGGCAAAAAAAGAAAATATCTGAAACAAATCAGTGATACTATGCTTTTGTGATATATAAGAAAACCATAGTCACCATGAAGAGGAAACAAGACATAGCACCTGTGAATTTCCCGCTTTCTAATCAGAACAAGAATGAGAACTTTAGTTCATGTCCCTTGCCTGAGAGTGAGATAATGGAAATTGGAGCCTGTTTTATGTATAGTGAGCTATAAATGAATCCTAGCAGAGTAGGAAAGGCAGAGCCTAAAGCCACCCTACAAGGGAACGTTTCATTATCTTACAGAGTTGCCTCAAGATTTATTCAATTCTAAGGCGACAGTTTTCAACTGAGCATACACACACACACACACACACACACACACACACACACACACACACACACGTTTGAGAAAATAACAGAGCCAGACACACACACACACACACACACACACACACACACACACACACGTTTGAGAAAATAACAAAGCCAATGATATGAAGACTCATTTTAGGCAAAATCCTGGATTTGAGACTTAGTAGTAAAACTAAACAGAAGAAAATAAAGTTATCATTTACTTTCACTACCAATAAATAACTTCATACTTTCTACTGTAGAAGTACTATTGAGAGTACATTGGGAAAACTTTCAATTTTCTGCTATCTACTTTTATATCCAATTCCCCCACTAACCTGAGATCAGGTTGCCTATTTGCTTTTACATTCCCTTGAATTCTTCAAGTCCTAAAAGACACAAACCAGCTTGCTCAATGATACCTCATTTAACTTATTATCTCTTCCCCTATCTAGAAGTCCTCTATAATCTTCTTACCTACAGTTAGGAAGGTGCTCAGCAGCTGCTCCGTGGCAACAGGCTTGATTTCTGTCCGAAGATTAACAAATCTGCCAACCACCAAGGGAGCTCGGCGGAAGCCCAGAATCCTGGTTTCGAAAGTTGAAGAAGAAAAGTAAAAAAAATATTTGGGGATTAACTTTAAATAATAGTTGCAAAAATTATGGTGAATCCTATTAGATGCTATCTTTTTTTTTAAAGAATAAACGTTTATGAATATCATGTCAAAATGTTTGTAATTTTACACTCCAGCAAAAAGGTGTGAAAGGCGAGCTGTACCAAATGTCAGTAGCTGTTGAATCTAGGGAATGGGGATATGGGATCTTTATATTATCCTTTCTACCTCTACTTAGGAAATTTTCCTAGTAAAAATTTAAAATTTAAACGAAGCATTAGAAAAACTTGGACTTAAGTTCATAGGTTAAAGCTTATATAAAATAGCACACTGACAAAACTATGCAGATGGACCTAAAAGAACAAACAGGGCACAGTGGACCCATTGCAACAATGAGATGTACAAGTCGTTATGTCGAAAACAAACTTTACAACTTTCGTGGGGGGGAGGGGAGGATTGGGGGGCGGGGGGAGGGGAGGATGGGAAGGGATGGGAAGGGGAAACAAAGGAGGAGGCTACAATGCTTGATAAGAAATGTACTCATTATCTTGCCCATGTAATTGTAACTCCTCTGTACAGTATTTTCACAATAAAAAAAAAAGAACAAACAGGGCAACTCAGATTTAACGGTCTCTCTAATGCAGTCGAAAACAATCTTTTTTTTTTTTTTTTGAGGTACTGGGAAGGGAGATTTGAACTTAGGGACTCAAACTTGCTAGGCCCTTGTGGTATTTTACCATTTGAGATATGCCTCCAGACAGGCTTTTTGCTGGTGACTTTGGAGATGGGAGTCTAGTGAACTTTTCTACCTAAGCTGGCCCTGTACCATGATCGTTTAGATTTTAGTATCTTAAGTAGGTAGGATTCATGTGTGAGTCACTAGTACCAGCTGAAAACAGAAATTTTTTTTTTGGTCAGTCATGGGGCTTGAACTCTGGGCTTGGGTGCTGTCCCTCAGCTCTTTAGCTCAAGACTAGCGCTCTACCACTTGAGCTACAGCACCACTCTTGGTTTTTTGGGTGATTTACTGGAGATAAGAGTCTCACATAGTTTCCTCCCCAGTCTGGCTTTGAACTGCAATCCTCAGATCTCAGTCTCCTGAATACTAGGATTACAGGCGTGAGCCACCAGCAACCGGCAACAATTTTTTTTTTTAAATGACATTGCCTGGCTAAAAACACATTGCCCAGGCAAGAGATGTAGAACTTGAAGCCCAGAGAAATTCGATAGTGAAAACAGAAATCACCCACAATTCAACGATCCAGAAATAGTTACTGACATTTTTGTCATATAAACATGTTTTCCTTACATGTATATATAAACATCCACTCCAGCTTATGCATACACATATAATAGGGCTTATACTGTATGCAGTTTTGTATCTTGCTTTTTACTCATTATTGTATCAGAAGCCTTTCTCCATGCCATTTGAAAGACTTAAAAGAACAAATGATCTGTTTAGGACTGGTTCTATCCTAACCCTAATCTTAGAAAAGCCACAAAAGCAAGGAGATGAATGAAACACATGGAAATATATGAATGGAAAATAACAAAGAGAAACACGAGGCAAGAGAAGGCAGCTAGGTCTGAGTGTAGTAGAGAAACACAAGTCAAAGCAGAAAAGTGTCAGGAGTCATGGATGGACAAAAAGGGTGGGCAGTATTCTTTCTATGCATTGACAACTGCCAATCAAAGAAAAGCAGCCAGCTTAGTGATGAGGGGGCAGTTTCACCGTGGCACCTAAAGCTGGCTGGGTGGCAGTTAGCAAAGGAGACAGTGAGGCTGGCCACAGAATATCTGGATTTGAGTTAGGGAAGAACTTTTAAACAAAAGACCCTCCAAGTACAAGTCATTATATTCAATTCACATTAAAAACAATCATTTCTATACAAGAATATTTCAATCTACTTAATAAACAGGTATACTATAAAAAAGATAAACTTTGCATGTAACTGGGGAAATATAAAATAAAATAATAACACTTCATATATATATATATATATATATATAATAAAAATTACTATGATGGATAATATAGAATATTGGTCTGGAAATAAGGATCTTCATGATCTGCTGGTAGGAAATAGGCAAATAAAATCTGAATTCTAATGTGCCATTTAGGAGGGGGAATAGGATTTAGCCAACTCTCTGCCACTAGGTCTTAAAAAGAAGCAGCAAAAAGAAGCAGCAAAAAGTCATAGCATTGCCCGGCGCTGGTGGCTCACGCCTGTAATCCTAGCTACTCAGGAGGCTGAGATCTGAGGATCGCGGTTCAAAGCCAGCCCGGGCAGGAGAGACCGTGAGACTCCTATCTCCAATAAACCACCAGAAAACCGGAAGTGGCGCTGTAGCTCAAGTGGTAGAGCGCTAGCCTTGAGCTGAAGAGCTGAGGGACAGCGCCCAGGCCCAGAGTTCAAGCCCCACGACCGACAAAAAAAAAAAAAAAAAAAAAAAGCCATAGCATTATAAACATTTATTTAACTTCTTTCTTATCAGGATATACTTAAGTTGCTATTAGCTTTGACTACTACAAAATGCTACAGCTATGACAGTTGTATCTAGCTTTAAATATTTTATCGTTTCTCTTTAATATGTTCCAGCTATGTCTTAGGCATGTGAATAAAAAGAAATTTATTCATTTAATGGGTATGAATATTGTCTTGACAAAAAATGGCAGAGTTCTTTTTATGTGTGTTTGCTGGTATTAGGACTTGAACCCAGGGCCTGGGTGCTGCCTCTTTTTCACTCAAGTCTGGGGGACTGTGCCACTTGAGACATACTGCAACTTCTGGCTTTCTGATGATTAGTTAAGAGTCTCACAGACTTTCCTGCCCAGGCTGGCTTCAAAACAGAATCCTCAGAACTTAGCCTCCTGATGTAAGTCACCAGAGCCCAGTAGATGAGTTCTTAACAGAAAGGTTGAAATTAACACTATCATAATTAACGCTATTATAATTTGGAATTTCAATGTATTCCTGCCAATTTACAAAACATCATTTTAAACCTGTGCTATTTTCAACTGGTGAAAATAGTAACTGTATTATTAAACTCGATTTTTAAAAGTTTCTAGTGAGGGGGCCGGGAAGGTGGCTCAGTGGTAGAGTGCTTGTCTTTCATGCATGAGGCCCTGGGTTCGATTCCTCAGCACCACATAAGCAGAAAATGCTGGAAGTGGCACTATGGCTCAAGTGGTAGAGCACTAGCCTTGAGCTGAAGAGCTGAGGGACAGCATCTAGGCCCAGAGTTTGGTCAGTTGACCACTAAGTAAATAAATAAATAAATAAAGTTTCTAGTGAGGAAAGGCTTATTCCCATACATATTAGCAATTGACAGCTCCTACTGTTTTGTTAACTGCTTAAGTTCTTACCCATATTCTACCTGAGTTTTAGTGCATATGTGGATTTGTATAAACACATAGGAAATCCTTCCCAATCAAGAACAGATGGAAACCTCACCTATATTTTTCCTGATTTCGTTATAAGACTAATTTATTAAACAAATACTCGGAATCATTTCTTTTAAAGTCTGTCCATATATTAGCCAGTAGCTGTTAGCTCACACTGATAAACAGGTTACTTGGGAGGCTGAAGTTGGGAAGACTGTGGTTCAAGGAAAGCTCAAGCATACATAAAAGACCACTTCTGCATACATAAAAGAGCACTTCTCCACAAACAGCTGGATACAGTGGCATGGATCTGTCATCCCAGCTATATGAGCTAAGATCAGGAGGCTCACTGTTCCAGGCCAGCCTGCAAGAGTCCATCTCAATGGAAGAAACTGAGTATGCTGGTATGTACCAAGATATAACAGGAAATGTAAAATAGTTGGATCATGGTACAGTGCTGGCCCAAGCAAAAAGTGAGAGCCTAACTCAAAAACAAAACCAGTGCATAAAAAGGTCTGGAGGTATGGTTCAAGTAGTAGACTGACTGTCTAGCAAACAAAAGCCCTGAGTTAAGCTCCAGTAACATCAGAATTAAAAAAAAAAAAAAAGTAAAAAATAAAAGAGTCCATCAATATACCAAATTGGAAAGCTAGTAAGAAAGTAACTGGGATTCCAAGCAGTTTGGCTAAGAAATTCCCAACTCATATCCTGCTGAAAAAATGTATTAACTTCCCTCATCTAATAAATTTGAATTCATATCTGTTCATATGAAATTACTCTGCTTTTTTAAAACTACATATATTTTATATGAAGAACAATACATTTAGTTATATAATTCATGTTGTATGCTTCCAGTAGAAAGGCTAGGTCAGTATTACAACAAAAACAAAAAAACCCAATGGGATTGCCAGATCCAACCAATGGACAATTCATTCAGGGATTTGAGTTCAGATTTCAATTTTCAGCTTGATACTTATTTACCAATATCTTCACTCCTGGTAATAACAAATAACTCATGAGAATAACAGAAGGCATGCTAGGTTGAACTGAAAGTAAGCAGAAGTCTAGTTAAAATATGTAACTTACTTGGCATTCCTGGTATCACTCAAATTATTATTTTTTCCCCAAATTATTAAGTACTCACAAAACTACAAGAAAGATTGCTAGTGTGTCACCCTGTAGAAAAAAGTTCACAGGTACTCTTCAAGAGAGATTTTTTTTTTTGGTGCCAGTCCTGGGCTTGACTCCAGGGCCTGGACACAGTCTATAAGCTGTTTTGCTCAAGACTAGCACTCTACCACTGGAGCCATAGCTCTATGTCTAGTTTTTTGGAAGTTAGTTGGAGATAAGAGTTCTCATGAACTTTTCTGCTTGGTCTGGCTTCAAACTGTAATCCTCAAAGCTCAGCCGCCTGAGTTGCTAGATTACAGGCATGAGCCACCAATGCCTAGGCTCAAGGAAGCAAAGGAAAGGAAACAAAGTGAACATAATTTGTTGGGATCACACATACCTGTCTAAATGAAAAGCTGCAACCTCTGCATTGTGTCTATCATAACCAGCATATGGCTCTCCTTCTACTATATAGTCTCGGCTATACCTGCAAAAAAGAATGGGAAGCACAGGTGTAGATATTAATTGCATTAGTATGAAAGGTCATAGTATGAAAGGTAGAACACACATCTTAGCAAGTCTAATTCTGCTCCATACACACCTCTTTTCTCAATCCCAAAACAATTTTGTAACCCACAAATTGCTGGTAGATGGCATGAAGATAAGGCAGAGACAGAAAGAATTCTTTATCAGCCTCAGCAATTACTCAATGAATAAAACATGCAAGACGTTGTGGGATATTTTTTTGGTCAGTCATGGGACTTGCACTCAGGGCCTATGTGCTGTCCCTGAGCGTTCTTCCTCTCAAGGCTAGTGCTCTACCACTTTGAGCCATAGAGCCACTTCCAGTTTTCTGGGGTTAACTGGAGATAAAGAGTCTTATGGACGTCCCTGCCTGGGCTGGCTTTGAACTGTGATCTTCAGATCTCAGCCTCCTGAGTAGCTAGGATTATAGGCATGAGCCACCAGTGCTCAGAGCAAGAAGTTATTTTTACCCTCCCCCCCAAAGGGTTTTCAATGTAGTTTAAGTATAATCACATAATTTTCTAGAAGGCAAGAATCATTTTCATATAGCCAGCATAGTGCTGGTACTTAATAAACGTTTACTAAAATGTTTATTGGATAGAATTAAAGAAATAATAAAACTTTTGCTTATTGAAATAGTTGTGGTAGGTTTACAATAGAAGCTTAAGTTTCTTGAGTACCGGTGGCTCACACCTGAATCCTAGCTACTCAAGAGACTGAGATCTAGAGGGTCATGGTTTAAAGCCAGCTCAGTTGTTATTAATAAGAAGGCAAAGGTGCTTCTGAAAAAAGCTGCTAAAATAATCAATCTTCTTATGGGGGAAGGAGCCCTGGATGCAAAGTGATGGTTGGGATAGCTTTAAACATAACTGTTCTCTTCTCTGTGTATCAGATTCCCTTTGTGCAAGACTAGAGACTGAACTTAGAGGTAATTTCTAAGGTCTCTTTCACCTTAAATGCATTCTGGTAATTTTATACCATATGCATAACCAGAGGGTAATGAAAACAGGAATATTTTCCTTCTACTAACATCTTTAAAGATACTATTTCACCAGGCACAGTAGCACGTTTTTATAATCCCAGTCTTCAGGAGGCTGACATAGGATTTCAAGCTTGAAATCAGCCTGGACTACATAGGGAGTTCTAGGTCAACATGGGCTTCTTAGCAAAGGGGAGGAGAGGGAGAAGGAAATATTTAAGCCTTTTTTTTTTTTTTTGGTAGGTCATGGGGCTTGAACTCTGGGCCTGAGCGCTGTCCCTCAGCTCTTCAGCTCAAGGCGAGTGCTCTACCACTTGAGCTATAGCGCCACTTCTGGTCTTCTGGTGGTTTATCGGAGATAAAGAGTTTCAAAGACTCCTGCCTGAGCTGGCTTTGAACTGCAATCCTTCTATCTCAGCCTCCTGAGTGGCTAGGATTACAGGTGTGAGCCACCAGCGCCCAGTATATTTAAGCCTTTTTATTGGGAAGAAATTATTTAATTTACCTATGAACTTTAATGTTTATTTTCATTCCTGAATCAAAGGAAACCTACTAGGCTTTACAAGGGAACTATGAAGTAGAAATAAGTTGAGATCGAAGACCAGCAGTTCCACTAAGAACAGTAGAAATTCCAATGCTGAAATAGCTATGGAGAGATGGGCACTGATGGCTCATACTGTAATCCTAGCTATTCAGGAAGCTGAGATCTAAGGATTGCGGTTCAAATCCAGTTTGGCAGAGAAATTCAAGGGACTCTTATCTTCAATTAACCATCAAAAAAGCCAGAAGTGGAGGTGTAGCTTAAGCAATAGAATGCCAGCCTTGAGCAGAAAAATACCCTCCCCCCAGCCACGAACGAAAGAAATACCTAAGGGGAAGTAAAAAAATGTTACTATAAACGTGACCTTCAACTTAAATTACCTTAGAATAGGAAGTCAAGTCTCCTATCTTCAAGGCAAAGTGATGAAGCAAATCATGTTATAAGACAGTAAAGTGTTACCATCTACTGGGCACTAGTTTTTTCTCAGCATGGCCAATAAGTTGCCTCTAAAAGCAGTTTTGAAATACCACTACAGCAAAAGCTGATGCTGTAACAAGCACTTTTCTCTTTCCTATAGGTGTAGGCTGTCACCCCGCTGGGAAATATTTTTTCAGAACTTCAGTGGTGTCACAGCAAGGTAAGAGATAATGCACAATACATTCTGTACAGTGAAATATCACAGAGCTTTGCAATACATGTAAAGGCTTCTCAGAGTGAAATATAAATACGTAGAGGAACCCAGGAATTTTGGGAGGTAGACTAGCAAGGAGGGAGGGAAGAAGAATCCAAAGAATTACATCTCAGTCATGAGATGTGAATCTTTAGCTCGTTTTGTCTATGTGAGATATGAAAGGACCATCTATCTGGTCTCTAAGGTTCATTTTAGCATGTCCTGAGATCATCCCTTTTATTTCTACCCAGTCCTAGGCCCCTGCTTTACATTCTTTTCCCACGATAGCTTAATTTTGCCCATATAAAATCAATTTACTGCCTGAATGGACAGCCATATTAAAAAAAAATCACTTTGACAAGGTTGAGGGAAAATGTGTAAATAATAGTGTGTCTATGTTCCTAAACATGTCATCTACCTATACACACCTTCTATCTCTGAGGAGGGTGTGGACAACCCAGTTCCAGATGCTGAAACCACAGAGGCTATTAAAGAAAGATACATGTCTTGACTTGGCAGTGAGGATTTGTATTCTCCTTTCAGCAGAGAGCAATCCATCTTACGTCACTGACAGAGCAGCAAAAGTTATACAGTAACAGCCAATAAATCATTCCTATCATTCTTGTGAAGGACATCAGAGTCTGACCGAGGACATTAACTTGCACTTACTGCAAGACTGAATAGCTGTGAGGCCTGAGAGGGTCAGAATAGCATTTTGTTGGGTGTTCAGGGACTGCAGCCAATTTCTACACAAGTACTTAAACCTACACCTATCTTCCCAGCCTGGGACAGAGCCCAGTATAAACCAACACTGGGTAGCAAGTAAAATGACTAAGGAAGGTACCACCTTCTGCAGCGGTTCATACATCTTGCTGATGGCCAGGGAGGTTGCCTGGGAGTATGAAGGCATAGGTTACTTAGAAGATGAGAGAGGAAAGCTGAGACCCTGCAGAGAGGAGGGCCAGACTGTAAGGTTCTTGATCACTAGGCTGTGGAGGGTAGGTTTTGCCTAGTGGATAATAGAAACACCTGGATATTATGAGCATTTTCAGAGAAGAGTGGGAATGGTTTTTTTTTTTTTTTTGGATGATCTGGAAGAGAACATAAAGAGTGCAGAAGTAACCTGAGTGCTGGTGGCTCACACCTGTAATCCTAGCTACTCAGGAGGCTGAGATCAAAGGATCAAGGTGGTGCTTTGGCTTAAGTGGTAGAGTGCTAGCCTTGAGCTGAAGAGTGCAGGGACAGCATCCAAGCCCAGAGTTCAAGCCCCAGGACTGACAAAAAAAAAAAGCAGAAGTAGAAAGAGGTATGAGGTGAACAAGAAGTAACTAAGGTTTCTACACTTATTTGTGGCTACCTCCCCTACTCAACCAGTGTGGTCTCTAGTCCCCTCTCACACATCAGGCCTGTCTACAAAACACCTGATCAGACATATCTATTTTTCTAATACATCGAAACTATCTCTAGTGTAGAAAGAGTGCATGTGAAGAGGAACCCCTCTTATTTAAACACAAAATGCTCATATTTCATTTCTTTCTATATAAATTTTATTTTTTTCTTTTCCCCCACCTTTGCTTATGCTGCTAATCTTCCAGGCTACAAAAATCATACTTCAAACGAAATCAGCAGTTTTTGATGATAGGTGCTCCACATCATCAAGTGTATAACAAGCAAATACAGAAAGGCGTGTGCACACACGCACGCATGTGTGTGTAAACTGTTTAAAACTGATATACTTGAGTTCAAACTCAAACTCCACCAATTATTACGTTGTGACCCTTTCAAGTTAACTTACTTAAGCCTCAGTTTCTTATTCTAGAAAAGTACTGAATTGCCTCTAAGGTTAAACATATTAACAGACTCAAAAATACTTGGTGTAAAGCCTGGAAAAAGGTGTATACTCACTACACTATTAGGAAATCAGACCTTTTCTTTTCTTTTCTTTCCCTCCCTCCCTTCTTTTTTTCTCTGGACAGGCTAGGGTGGTACTCAGTTTGTCACCTAGGCTGCTCTCAAACTCACCTTCTCCCTATTTTAGCCTCTATAATGGCTGGAATTACAGATGTGAACCACCATGCCTTGGTTCAATGAATTTTCTACTTCCTAAAGGTCTGTCTGTATTTATTGATTTATTACAACTTCTCCCAAGTAGCCTATGCTGGCCTAAAACTCTTGCTTCTCCTGTCCCAGCCTCCCAAATTTTGGGATTTCTGGCACACACCATAATGCCTGGTTCTCAACTAAGCAATATTCACTTCTGCAGAAGGGTATGCCATCAGCCTCTATTGTATTTTATTAACTTGCCTAATTACCCTGTCTTCCATACCTCAAACTTCCCAGTTCCAGGCAAACAGTGATCTTTTTTGAGATCCTAAATATATTCATTCTCTACCTATCTTTTAATAGTTGTTAATAAAGGAAATTTAATTTTGTATCTTTTCCTAATAGTTCTTCCTCTACTGCAACAAGAAATATGAAGGTATTATTCTGTCAAAAGTTCACTGAGCCAAGTGCTAGAGGCCTGTAATCTAGTTACTCAGGAGGCTGAGCTCTGAGGACAGTGGCTTGAAGCTGCTTGGGCAGAAAAGTCCCCGTGAGACTCTTATCTACAATTAACCATTTAAAACTGGAAGTAGATAATCAAGAACTCTAATAACAACAGATGCTGGCCAGAAGGGAACCCTACTGCATTGTTGGTGGGAGTGTAAACTTGTTTAACCACTTTGGAAAGCAGTATGGAGGTTCCTCAAAAAACTCCACATAGAGCTCCCCTATGACCCAGCAATCCCACTTCTGGGCATTTACCCAAATGATCACGAACAAGACCATACTGAAGCTACCAGCACAACTATGTTTATTGCAGCATTATTTACCATAGCTAAGATATGGAACCAACCCAGATGTCCCTCAGTAGATGAATGGATCAAGAAAATGTGGTATATATACACAATGGAATTCTATGTCTCCATCAGAAAGAATGACATTGCCCCATTTGTTAGGAAATGGAAAGACTTGGAAAAAATTATATTTAGTGAAGTAAGCCAGGCCCAAAGAAACTTAGGTCCCATGGTTTCCCTTATTTGCAATAACTAGTATATGTCCGAGTCAAGCAGAAAAGGTCAGATAAGTTGATGTTAGGGAAATGAACCCTAAGATATGTATTCAAATGTTTTTTTTTCTTTCAGGTGATTGTTTCTAACACATTTATGAGATTATTTCTTTGTTGCTTTGTATGTCCCTCCCCCATGGTATAACCCTTGCTTTCACTGTATTTGAGGTTGGTATAATTTGTGGAGGGGAAGGGAAAAAACAAATCATTTAAATAGGGATACAGGTGGATCCATTGCAACAATGAGATGTACAAGTCGTATGTGGAAAAACGAACTTTACAACTTTGGTGGGGGGGGGGGGATTGGGTGGGGGGCGGAGGGGGGGTGAGGATGGGAAGGGATGGGAAGGGGAAACAAAGGAGGAGACTACAATGCTTGATAAGAAATGTACTCATTATCTTGCCCATGTAATTGTAACTCCTCTGTACAGTATTTTCACAATAAAAATAAAAATTAAAATAAAATAACAAAAAACTGGAAGTAGAGCTGTGGCTCAAAGTGGTAGAGCACTAGTCATGAGCAAATAGCCTAGGCCCCGAGTTCTAGCCCCACAATCAACAACAACAACAAAAAGTTCCACTGAGGAATGAAAAAAAATGTTTAGTACACAAACTTTTACAGTATACAAATACAAACTGCCAGTAGCTAACTCTTCACAAAGTATGATGTTATATTGTTACATTTTACTCACAGAAAACTTAAGAATTATGTATGTGTGTGTGTATATATATATATATATATGTGTATATACACACATATATATATGTATGAAAGAATTAACCCACAAATTACCTTTGTACCTCTCTAAAGGGAGAGGTCCAAAGGGATAGCTAACAGTGTAACAAACCACTTAATTACTGAGGTACTGGAATGGCCTAGTTCTTTGCTTATAAATAGTGGTAAAGAAACAATGAGATACCACTACGTAACTATTAAAATGGCTCCAAAACACTGACAACACTAAATCTTGGTGAGAATAATGTGTAAAAGGAACTCTTGTTCCTTGCTGGTGGAAAGGCAAAATGTTACAACCATTTTGGAAGACAGTTTGGCAGTAATAAACAAAACAAAATTGCATACTCTTACCAAATGATCAAGCAATGGTGTTTCCTGTTATTTATCTAAATGAGTTCAAAACTTATGGTCCACACAAAAGCTTGCACATAAATGTTTAGACCAACTTAATTCACAACTGCCAAAATACAGAAGCAAACAAGATGCTCTTTGGTAGGTAAATAGAAATTTAAATTGCGGAACATTCATACAATATTATTCCATGATAAAAAAAAAATATATATATACTATTTGCTTAAACCACATAACAATATGTAAGAACCTTAAATATGTACTCCTAAGTGAGAGAAGCCAGTATGAAAAGCTCTATACTGTGAGTTCAACTACATGACAGCTGGGTAAAAGCAAAACTATGAAAATAGCAGAAAGATCAGAGGAAAGCATGAATCTGTAGAGCGCAGAGGATTGGGGGGGGGGGGGGCATGGAAACTACATGATGCCACAGTGATGGTCTGTCTACCTGCGCTGGCTTTTTTTTCTTTTTTTGGTCAGTTGTGGAGCTTGAACTTAGGGCCTCAGCACTATCCCTAAGCTTTTTTGCTCAAGGCTAGTAGTGCTCTACTACTTTAACCACACTTCTGTTTTTTAGGTGGTTAACTGGAGATGAGTCTCATGGGCTTTCTTTCCCAGGCAGACTTCGAACAGCAATTCTCAGATCTAAGCCTCCTGAGTAGCTAAGACTACAGGTGTGATCCACCAGCATCCAGCTTCATTTTGTGTTTTTAACACCTGACACATAGTACGTACTTGATATTTGAGAAATCAAGGATAGCTCAAGTTGTCCAAAAGTTTGGTCTCAAAGGAGCCAAAACAGGTTCCTATAAATTTCCCCTACTCAAAGACTCACAAAACTTTTAGAATTTGAAAAGACCTCAAAGACATTGCAATCTTTCTCTTCTATTTTTCTGCAAAGACTACCAAGAAAAGGAGATGAAGGCCTCTATTTAGATCCCGAGTAAAATGAGTCAACCAACTAGCACAATAGCTTTTAGGATGAAGACTTACCGCTTCGGTTTGAAGACAACTTTCTGTCCTCCTTCAAGTATCAGTAAAGCTTTTAACTGTGTCCCTTTATAACCCACATCAGCTTTAATGATTTTCTTGGTGGCCATGGCATGCATGATTGCCCCCAGTTCTGGTGTCTCTTCAGGGTACACTTCCCGGGGCACCACCCACTGCGCTGCTATTTCCCATGGAGACTGTAAAGTGTGGTCCAGCTTGGGCACCAGCTCTACCCGCAAACCAGTCATCATTCTGTGAAAAGCCCTCTGGTCCTCCCGGTTGGCAGCTGATGTATCTAAGTTGTCAATCAGGAAAACTTTGGTGAAGATAAAGATGACAAGAAGTATTGCTAACAGCACGACTCGCTGCTTTAGCTTCATGTTGGCCTTTTTTCCTTCTCCCTGACTCACTGTCTTGCTGGCTTATCAAGGAGAGCAGGTGGTGATGGTTAGCAAGGCGATTCCATAATTGCACATTTTTTTCACTGAAGCGCCTCCACAATTCCTGTAAGCCCAAGTACAAAGCAAAATTTCATCAGAAATTCTGTCCTTCCATTCCTAAACATTTTTTAAGCCTTTGTCACTTAGCCTTTTAGCCTTACTAGTCTTGAATTTAAGAAGATCCAATAATTTAAAATAAATTATTCTGGGAAGGTCCTAAGTAAGACTGAATACATTGAACATATTAAAGCAAATATTCCTACTTTAATTTGAAGGTGGAGCCATGTAGGAGTAATTTCATATATGCCTAATAATTATCTAATAATTACCAAAATGAGGGAAAACCCACAACAGCAAATCCATTCAACAATGCATACTTCTGTAACTTTCACTTTTACCTCTTAAAATCCACAATGGACTTTGGAATATCCCCAAATACCAGTATTTTCCAATTCATCTCCAAATATAAGTTTTATAACACCTTGTAAGATAGGAACACACACACACCCCAAAACTAAAGAACAAAAAAGAGCCAAGCATAAGTAACTTGTAGCTGTAATCCTAGCTACTCAGAAGGCCCAGATCTGAGGATCAGGATTTAAAGCCAGCCCAGGCAGGAAAGTCCAGCCCAGGCAGGAAAGTCCAGCCCAGGCAGGAAAGTCCACGAGACTTATGTCCAAATAACCACAAAAAAGCCAGAAGTAGAGCTGTGGTTCAACTGGAAGAGTGGTAGCTTTAAGCATAAAAGCTCAGGCCCTGAGTTCAAACCCTAGAACTGGTAGAAACAAAAGTAAAACAAAACAAAACAAAAACCCAGTGTGCAGTGGTTAAGTAATAACTCTTTCTCCAAATCCACTTACTCAACAATCTGGGGCAGGTCATATGTGGTCGATGGATTTAAGCACAACATTTATTTAGTCGTGTATCTCTACTCAAACAGTCCTTCACAAGTTATTTTTCAAAATTAAAATCCCTGTAAAATAAGGATCATCAAATCTGAATAAGTAAAGAACACCTCCCTATTTCATCTGGCTATTGGTAGAATGTAGTAAGAAAACTAACAAAATCTGCTTTTACAGCAACACTACTAAGTCTAGAATGGTTGGGCATATAACAAAGACATTCATGTCATAGACCCAAAGAAGTACTTAATGTGTGGACTGACCACACTAAGCAATTTTTAAGCTAGAAGATTCCAAATGTAAATGTTTACAAGTGTCAAGAACATACAATTCAGTCTCATTTACATGCTGAGAGGTGGCTGCTTTCTACTCACTCCACAGGCCCATTTAAAAACACAGGCTTGCTATACTATAAGCCTAGAGGCAGCACAGCATTGTCACAGAAAAAGATGACAAGAAGATAACGATTTTTTTTTTTTTTTTTGCTCTCCAATTCATTTTAACAACTCAAGTCATTAATTGAGGAAATAAAACCAATACAAAAGATAAAGCCACTGAATGGGGCCGAGACACTCCCATCTAAACTTGAGATTGCTTCCTTAATAACAGCTGGAAACAGCTGAGGAGCAACAATGTGTTTGTTATAAGGGAGAGTACTTTGCTTTGAGCCAGCTGATATAAAGTTTATTTGTACTGATTAACTATCCCCTCCTTTCCTGTTAGTTTTCATGAAAGAAGCCAAAAGTGAGAGTCAAATTCAGATTCTAATTATCCCCAGCCACCTATTTTATTTCCTCATCGTCTTTCAGGAAATACATAACACTATTAGTTGAAACAAAGGCAAGTTAAGTGCATCTAAAATGTGATTGTGACAGTATCAAATTTGGTGTGGGACTCAGCAGTATGTAAGTTCTAATGCAACCTAACCTATACAACTGTTTTCAATTATTTAACAGAACACAGTTCAGGCTTCAGTGATAAAAGGTAACATGGAAATCCAACTGCATAATCAAGCCTCCTCAGCACCTCTATATGCGGATACCCACAGGTACATGCAGTATGGAGCTGGCACAAAGGGACCAGCTAAACTGGCTTTCCCTTTCTACAAAACATCTTCTGATCACTGCATAATCTTCTAATGATGTTGCATATTACATGTACAAAAAAGAAAATCTGCCCTCGTGTTATATACATACCTTACTCCCAAACATACAGTATACAGGTTAGGGCTTTGTTTTGCTTTCTTTGGTTGTTTGTGCTGCTGGGGATGGGATCCTGAGCCTTGTGCATGCTACACATGTGCTCTATGATTTAGCTACACCCTTGCTGTTTTGTTGTTGTTGTTTTTTGAGGGGGGGGGGGTGTCTTTTCCCCATCACCAATGCAATAAGAAGTTAGCACCTCCAAAATTAAGAGAAGACAAAATGATCCAAAACTCAAAAGTTTTGAGTGTTTTTAAGTTTTGAAATCTCATTACCTTTTGAAAAGGCCTCAGAATATACTTATCAATTCAGGTTGCAAATAATTCACCCACTCAGCTAGAAGAGAAATTTACATTAAGGAATATTTCAATTGTTACATTATTTCACTATTTACCTCTGCAGTTTCATAATGAGGACAGGTTAAAAAGGCTGAATTTTCATGATAGTCACTGATGAGGTACCACAGCCAGGTAGAAAAAGTAAAATTGTAACTTGGCATTGTCTTTACCACTTCCTGCCATTTCTAAAGCCCTCAAGTTAACTTTGCATTCTTTGGCACCAGACTTCTAGGCCTCCTTACTCAACCCAGGCTAGTTAACACAGTCAAAATAGTTTTTCCAGTCCCTCAAACACTTAAGGATTCTAAAAGCTCCTTAGCAAAGCATTAACAGCTTGGTATCGCTTTAATTGCCCCTCTTCCCAGTTATAACCAAACGCATCAATTGAATGTGCCCAGGTTTTGTCCCTGCCAGTCCTCATTCATTAACACCCTTAAAATCCCATTCTCTTACCCTTTTGTCCTATCCTCTCTTATTTAAACCCTAATTCTTCCTTCAAGATTCATCTCCACAACTGTTTCTGTTCCCTTCTCACATTCTATGGTAACTTTTCACCCCTTTCAACCAATTCTTAGCTACAGTCTGCCGTGTACCTTCTTGGATATAACTCTTAATTTTTCTTTCAGGATCTTGGCTCCTTAGTGATCCTTGACTTCCTTATGTTTGAAAAAGGATGCCCAAGACAGGGTTTCCAGCCCGTTTTAAACATCACTTCTTACTTTGGACAAGCAACATACTTTATCTTCTGCAAACCAGATTTTTAACATTCCTCATTTCAAATACTAAGGAAATAAAAGCAAGATTACCAGGTACGCTCCAAACTATTTGTGAAAACGTCCCCAAGGAGTATCCCCAAGAAGTGTGTCTGCTGTATTTCATGCCCTCAGCTCCTCCTGTAAATGCTTCACACAGAGCGACATTGTCCAGTTATATTATGGTCATTTATTTTTAATGTTTCTATTATGTGAAACAGAGCCTACCACAAAGAACAAGTGGACTCAAGGTAACAACATAACTCAAAAAATGTTAATCATAAAGTGCAAATGGTACATTTATAAATAGTTTTCATGCTAAACGCTGGTATAACCTCCCAGACTAGAGTTTTAGAAAGCAGACTTTTATAAAGAATTTTCCTACCGAACCTTGGTTTCACTCTCAGCTCCACTGCTGTGAGTGGCTTGCTCAACAGGCTTATTTCCTTTACTTCAAATCACTCACAACCAACACTACTACCACCATGAGCATCACCTTTCCAGTACCATCACTCCATGTCTGTGATAACCCGATATACTTATATAAAGCACTTTCTGGGTATATATGTAGATTACACAGAAAAAAAAGAGATACTGGTAAAAAGTCCTCTTTAAGAATCTGGCTGATGCTAGAAGAACATATACAAAAAATGTTAGTGAAAAGGCTGAAAATCATCTGATAAAATTTACATATGTCGCAGCTAATGAGAATAACTGGCACCAACACTGACTACTTTATGTGAGATCCTTATAAGTCAATAATGAGACACTAAGTGTCATTAATAACTAAGTCCTTTGAACATTCTTCTGATGGACAACTTCACACTAGTAATTCTGAGGTTACAGAGAGAAATCCCAACTTGTATTTACAAGGATGAAAAGTAAAACTTACCATGAAAGTAAACAAATGTTTCACTTTTTGTTTCCAATTTAGTGGCTAAATCAGAATCTTCCCACATAAATGGAGTGTAACATGTCTTGTGATTGTAGAGTGCCACAAGGCAAATATATGCTCAGTTACAAACATCTCATGCATAAGACAAAGGGGTTTTGTGGCAAGGGTGGAGATTATAATTAGTATGTAATCATGCTTAATCATGCAACCTCTCTGACTTCTCTCCTCAGTAGGAGCTACAAGAGCCCTTTTTTCCCAATTTCTTTATTAATTGTTGGTTTCAGCAAAACTGAAGACTTGGCAAGTGCAAAAGGGGGAGGTAAGATTTTAAGACCTTTGACTATCTACAAAGATAAACATCAATAATTCCTTTCATCAAAAGATAAAGTCTTTTTTCCCTCCATTTTTGATCTTTTGGCAGCTTCCATTTTCAATCTTTTGTTATCTAGCCACTAGGCTTAGGGGGCTACACTAAATGGGGGGGGGGGGGGGGTCACTAAAATGAGTGACCTTCAGAGAGAGGCCTGGCTAGCACTTTGCTATCATGGCCACCTTAGCTGAAGTACCAGGCAGAGAAGGACAACTATTAAGGACATTCAAATATGAGCTGAGTTCCCTGACCACACCACGTGGGCAAAAAAACAACCACTTGAGTCCAGGTGACGTGGACTCAATTATAAGAAAAAACAAATGATTGTCTTAAGTAATTAAGTAATTATATTTTGGGCATACTTGTACAATTATCCATTCTTTTGATCATTATCAACTCTTTTGAGGACACTAAATATATCAATGAGACAAACATAGTGAAATGAATCACATGACTGAAACAATTTTGCCAGGGAGTAAACATTAATCACTCAGCATAAAGACTGAATCAGCAGGGTGAGGTGGCTCATGACTGTAATCCTAGCTACTCAGGAGGCTGAGATCTGGGGATCAAGGGGCAAAGCTGGCCCCGGAAGGAAAGTCCGT